CCGGCTTCGGCCTCCTTGAATTGATTCGTGGTTCTTGTGCGAGCACCCTGGTTGAGTCTGGAGTGGATCTCGAACACCTTCAAATGAACCATGCCCTTGCAGAAAACCCCTGCGAGGAGAGCAACCATGTGTGCAGTCACGCCAAAGACGATGATTTTCGAGCTCTTCTTGATTTCATGCTTGAGCAGGGATGCAAGTGTAGTGAAGGTATCTGCCACAGATGGCATCAGTACGTGGTACTGGGGAACTCTCTCATGTGTAGGTGCTTCATTTTTATCAATAGTGGAAATGCTGGTGTAGTCTCTCTTCAACACAATATTGACCACATCCTTGACTTTGGGTGGGACAGTGGCTGAGAAGCACATGCCTTGCCACCCAGTGCTCTTTTGCGGGATGAGCTGGAGGATTCGCTTCACGTCAGCAATAAAGCCACTCTCAAGCATTGTGTCGGCTTCATCCAAGACCAAAGTTTGAATGTTAGACAGCTTCTTAGCGGTGGGAGTTTGAGACAAATAGTCGCACAGGCGTCCGGGGGTGGCGACAAGAATGGATGGTGCGCCCTTCATGAAGCGCGAATGAGCAGATGCTCGGGCCGTTCCACCGACTGCAACATGGCACTCAAGAGGAGTGGGAAGTTGCGAGGTTAATTGATCGCACGACTTTGCAATTTGTTGGGCAAGTTCTCGGGTTGGGGTAATGATCAAGATGCCGACCTTGCCTTTGGGTGGCGCGGAATCGCCTTGGAGCAGGCAGTGCAATGCGGGCAACAAAAAAGCAAGGGTTTTTCCAGTTCCAGTTTTAGCTTGGACAAGGCAGTCACTGCGCCAGCTTTGAAGTTCGGTCAAAACACGCTGCTGGACAGGGGTCATGTTGGTAAACCCCATCACGTCAAGGGCTTTGAGAAGCTTAGAGTCCAGCTTCCCGGCCATAGTTGAGTACAACTGAGTGTCATTGCTGAGTTGAAGACCTTCCATGATAGTCAAGGTATTGTATTTCTTCAAGAAAACTGCAGTTAATTGCTTGGATGAAAATTCAAACTCGAAGTGGCGAGTGAATGACTGTTAATGTTTGATGACAAAACAAGACAAAGATGAAGTATGAGTGAGTGTAATCTTTCCTTCCTTGTTCCTTCTAGTTTAGCAAAAGTCAGACTGATGCTTGATGATGTGAATCACTACAAGTTTACATTTGACAAAGAAGAGATTTGTTGCCAAGCATTTAAGATTGTCTCAAAGTCTGGTAAGCGTTCTATGATTGGCTAGAGCAGACCCCACTATCTTCGCTTGATATCACGTGTATTATGGGTCAGTTCCTGGGAACATGAGACTAACCGTATATGGTAATTCGCCTGGCTTGTTCGTTCAATTTTGAGCGAACACGTATCAAAGGTCCAGACCTGTCAGGCCTGTGTAATAATTTGTCGAAATTACATGGTCGTTTGAGTCATATCTTATATCTTCAGAAATTTCCGGCGATGACCAGTTCCTCATAGCTATATTGTGGGACGCTAGTTCAAAGGGTCGAGACAACTTCTGGGACACAAGTTGGCCGGATTATTTATGTATTTAAAATATGCGGCGATTTACGAAGTAGAGAATGATCTGGAATAATGACCACGCATGTCAGAACTTTCATTTTCGAAAAAAAAATCTTGGGGGGTGTTTCGGGACCTTGTCATATTGATGTGATTCGCCTAACAACCCCTCCCCCAGTCGATCACCCAATATGGGGCGAAGACCGATACATCGTACCTACTCCGTACTTATATTCTAACTATCATATTATTGTAGTAGGTTGGCAATCTCCGACAATGTTCTTTGTAAAGCTGTCAATGACATTATTCACACGCCCTGGCTGTCATGCGAATCCTTTCTAGTTGAGCGACATGGACTTGTGGCTGCGTATTTTTATTCCTGCATACTAGAATAAAGCAAGCGTATTCTGGCGGTTGGATCCTATATAAAATGTAGGGTGTTTACTCCGTGGGGGTCATAGTGAACGATGTTTTTGACTTGAAATCCGGCATCAGATCCATAATGATCGACCGGAGGTCACGGACCATGTCTAGAACCAGTGCGAACGTCCGCATGTACGCCGGCTAAATTGTAGGGCCACCATTTTCATGACCGTGCCCGATCCCCACTTGCATATCTCCACATAGATGGCAATTACATCTTAAGTACGGAGTACGGATTATATGTTGTAGGCTCGTCGATGTGGCACCTGTGTATGTTTCAGATAATTATTCGTCGAACGTTGGTAAGCATTGTGCTCTCATGCTTGGGTCATTATCCGAGGATCTAGCAAAATTCCCCAGGTAATCAATAGGATCATGAGAGGAGTCAAAATGCAAAGGTCGTCCGGCCCTCCAAAGTTCCGTCGGAGCGGACACCGTGTTGCTCTAATAATAGGAGATTTGCAGGAGCCCCCCCCGCTAAGGCCCGGGATCATAGTGCACATTAACACCACAATAATAGGGGAGTCAAACCCTCGCTGTAAATTGTCGATCAATGCTCTTCAAACAACGGTTGCGTCAGATACTCTTCTTCTGGAAGTATTAATTTGTTCGCATACTTATATATCTGTGTATCCAAATAATCTCTCCGGACCCCCTGGATGTCTGGAGGAGCCGAATCCTCGGGGACCATCGGCGTTCAGAGTTCGGGGGCCAAAGGATTCTTGTCCGCCTTTCCCTCCGTCCACATCTCCACAAGGATGCGGATCATCAATGGTTTCTGAATGCCTGATGGTGTAAGGCCTACAGCATTATTTTAGCGCTTTTTCTGTTGCCCCCCCCACTTGATGGATTAGAAATCGTCAACTTGTAGCCCTCGGCATCAGAATTGGAAAAGGACTATAAAGTAAATGCTCATCATTGCGGCAACAGAAGGCCCTCGAGTAGCAGCTCATTCATCTTGGCAGGAATCGAAAAAAAAGCGGACCTCGCGAATGGGGGCTCGCCGTAGTGGCTGAAACGAGAACGCTATAGTCATGGCCCGTACGGAGTATTCCGTAACTATCCACACAGTTCGTCTATTTCTCCACGCTTATTGGGCGCTTAAGGGTCTGACTTTCGCCGCATCATCGGGGGGTTTGCCTGGCTTGTTAATCAATCTGGAGAAATCCAATATGCGTGTTGGGGATTGGCAACATTATGGTCTTATCAAGGCCAGTCCACCGCCGAGAAGGATATAATGAACCCCTGAAAGAATTCATAGCTATACCACACGCAACATCTTATTTTCTTCTCCCCCGTATAGTTAACCAAGCTAATTTAGCCCTGGATACGCACGATCTGTCACGTTCTGGCTTGATCCCTGCTCGGCCCGGAAATAGTCTCGAGCCACCCACACACGATCTTTCAAAATCACTGATCCACCACTTCCCCTCATGTTAGGCTCCAGTGCTGGATCCATGGTCGCCAGCGGGGGGTTCTCTTTGAAAGGTTCTGGATAACGGAGGGGAGCTTCGCCTTGATTCTCGGCTGTGTGAGGAAACCAATCACCATGAGCTCTCAAGATGAACCACCTGTGAAGAGGCGTGAGTCTCGATCGGGGACAAGGAAAGTCTCGACTCTTTCAGTGGAACAACTGGAGCGAAAGCGTGCCAACGATAGAGAGGCCCAACGTTCCATTCGTCAACGCACCAAGGAGCATATAGAACAACTTGAGGCTCAGGTCTCTACGCTCCAGTCACAGATTGCGGAGATGCGGCTCCAAAACGAACGGTTCGATGAAGTCGTACAACACAATGCTATTCTGGAGAACGAAGTGATCCGATTGAAGCACCAAGTTGCTTCTTTAACTGGCCGACCGGAGTTTGCATCCCCCGACGAACCGATGGTTCCGTTTCGAAGTGAGTGGTCTTTGGGTGAAGCCTCGAGTAGTGCATTACCGGACATCCCAACAACAGGGGCATTGCTACCGCCACAATTCACTGTAACATCCCACACTCAAAGACCCCCGGGTCTTCTGACATCACGTCGAGAGTCTCATCAGCATGACTGGCAACAACCATATCCGTCCACAAGATCGCCGTCGCTCGGCGCAGCCTCCGACACGGAATTCCCGAATCGTATAGAGCCATATCCCATAGACGGTCAAATGCATCAAGGGCAACCGACACACCCACCTCAGCAACAATCCGAAACGTCTTTCTCTCAGTTCGCCTACGGCAACCGGTCACTTTCCATGTCGAGTGCCACTTCCGTTCCTCAACCAACTCCCGCCCGAGTCTACCAACCCCCCACAGCAACATACGGGCAACCAATGCCTCAATCGCAACAGACGGATCCGGCATATGAGTATCCATGGGTGCCTCCGTCATGAATAATGCAAGTTCAATGCAGTAGGGGGAAATTAGACGACATTCTATCATCGGTGGAAACACAACGTCTTGCGAGTTGAGGCCGGGATGTGGAACCCTTGATCCAGTCTCACGGCATGTAAATTCCATTCAAGAGCCACGATACGAGCATTCATACTGATCCATGATATAGATCTCAAGGCAACACTTGTTCCCGGATTCCAAAATCGTCGCGGAAATCGTGGTTGAAATCCGTTCCCACCAAAAAGAAAAATAAGAACGGAAATAACAGCCGTGCCGAGGGGTTAAAGTAAGCTGCCAGTGAAGATCCGGTCCCACATCCGGTCGATCTACAACATACGACTGAGTGGCCACTAAGCCAATTACTTCAACTCCGCGCCGGAATATCCTCGTTGGGGTTGGATATACAAATAAGGCTGGGCAAATTGGTATGACTTCCGCCATCATCTACGCTGCTCTTTACTCTTGTGTACACAGTTTAGCATTTATACATCTTTAGTGGAGCAAATTCGAAATGGTCACAGGGATGGCCCATGGTGGCTCTTCATGTTTTGTATACCCAAAGGGGGCGATGGGTAGATACCCATAAGACGAACAAACAATACGCCGCAGTGTGCATAAAATCAAACTATTTATAAACAGGCCATTGAGGTAGGCATTCAACTCCATCTCGTCTAGTTCGTGTACTGCTTCTGGAGAAGCTTGGCAATAGTCTGCAACTGGATGTTGCTGGTACCCTCGTAGATAGCACCGATCTTGCTATCACGGAACATCTTCTCAGCGATGCCCTCACGGACAAAGCCCATACCACCCATCCACTCAACAGCAGAGCTGGACACCCGGCCGGCGACCTGGGAAGCGTACAGCTTAGCCATAGCGGCGTCCTGGACGAAGTCCTGGCCAGCCTCCTTCTTGCGGGCGGCATTGTAGACGAGAGCGCGGGCGGCGGCGATCTCAGTGTAGGCTTGTGCGATCTGGTGCTGCATGCCTTGGAAGTTTCCGATAAGCTCGCCGAATTGGCGGCGGTCGTTCCAAACGTACCTTTAATTGTGGTCAGCTGATCGGATTCATATGCGGGTCTGCATTGTGTAAAAGTCTTACCGTGCAGCATTCTCCCATGCGCCAAGAGCCAGACCGGTCATCTGGGCGGCGATACCAATACGGCCCTCGTTCAACACACTAATGGCGTACTTGTATCCTTGTCCCTCCTCGCCGAGAAGGTTGCTCTTGGGAATGACACAGTCATCAAAGTTGAGCACACAAGTGCTACTAGCACGAATTCCGAGCTTCTTCTCCTTCTTGGCGATTGAGAAGCCAGGGGTATCCTTCTCGACAATGAAAGCAGTAATACCCTTGTAGCCCTTGCTGGGGTCAATGTTGGCAAAGACGATGAAGATACCGGCCTCCATAGAGTTGGTGATCCACATCTTAGAGCCATTGATCTTATAACCATCGGCGGTCTTCTCAGCCTTAGTCTGGAGAGCAAAGGCATCAGAGCCAGATGCAGGCTCGGAGAGACAGAACGAGCCGACAGTGCCGGTAGTCAGCTTGGGCAGCCAGGTACGCTGAGCCTTGGCATCACCGTATTTCATGATCGCGGTGTTGACCAGTGTATTGTGAACATCGACCAGCACGCTGACACTAGGGTCCACGCGTGCCAGCTCCTCGATCGCGACGATTGCCGCGGTGAAGTTCATCCCGGCGCCGCCAAACTCCTCTGGCACCTCAATGCCCATCAGGCCCTGCTCAAAGAGCTGCTCTACAACCTTTGCGTCCATGGTCTCAGCCTCGTCCATATCCCGTACCTTCGGGCCGATTTGCTCCACGGCGAACTTCGATACTGAGTCGGCCATGAGAGATTCCGTCTCGGACAGGAGGGTGATCGGCGTCGGGGTCAGCTCGGAGAGGTCGACCTCCCGCCGGCGGGGGGTGGTTGAGAATGCATATGCGCTGTAATAGAGAAAATTCGTTAGCAAATACGTTTTTAATAGTATAGGTGCGCGCCTGGGCTAGACGGTACCTCTGTACGGGCCGGCCAGCAGCGAGTCGTTTGCCCGCTACACGGACTGAGGGGGTACGCGACAAAGGCCGCAACGCGCGAATAATAGAAGCCATTGTAAAATGAGGGATAATAGGCTCAATATGCTATGAGGAAGAAAAGGAAGGGGGGAAAAGTGACCTCGGAAGGGAGGTAAAGGTCATAATCACGAGGGTCGCTGTGAGCCGAGGTCGGTTATCGGCGGCGGCGTTGGGGATCCGCGGGGATGTGGGGCTGTTCTTAACCTAGGCTGACCTGGACGAAGGGAACAACCTTATGAATGTACAAAGTACGTTGGATGTCATGGTGATGCACACTTGAGTTATTCTAGATATTATTGTCAAGATTAATGTTCTCGGCATCATATTAAACCATCTACAATACAAAATATAGGTACAGCCTCAGCTGCCATGAACAGGTTCACTATAAGTATCAACCAAGAATGTAACACACCTTTCCTAATAAACACCATTGAACAACTTTTTGAACATATTGTCTATACTCACAGATTGAGCACCCGGAGGCTATATTCGCCCATGGATCGGATACTCGGCAGAGATGCTACTATCCCCTGAGGACGGGCCGCCGTGACGCTCCACAACCTCGAATCGAGTCTCAATCTCGGTTCTAATCATAACACCCTTTGGGTCATTGACAATATGTTCTTCACTTCCATTTGTCCCGGCAAATGTGCTGAGATCCATCCAGCCCGGGTTGTCATCTTCAGATGGCTTCTTCCTCCCCCCACATGCGTTGGACTGAAAATTGGAATGGCTAGCCAGGTTGGACTTGTTTGTGCCATATGCTGCGTGTCCGCCCGAGTCATAGTACTGGTAGGGGTTCGACTTTTTCTTTGAGGTAAAGCCCAGTCGCCGCAATACCTTGTCCATATAGTCGAATGGGTGGTATACAGCCGACCATGGTAACGATCCAAGCTTCTGTCGATGCCCAGATGAGGAGATCGGATTGAGCGTCTGTTGAAAATATGATTATTAGAATTTTTCAAGATGAAATTGTGGATTGTAACTTACAGGTGATATCTGTTGTCTCGGTCAATGCTTTGAGTTCATATGTCTTGACAGCGGAGCAAACTGCCGCTCTGAATTCGGGCGAATGTTAGCTTGAAAAAAGCCGAAGTGGACGGTGGGATTGACCTACATCCAGCCCAGCCCCATGAGGATAGACAAGATGACCTTGATCCGCAGCTTCATTTGGAGTTTCCAAAAGAGATGAACAGGATATACTGCCAACAGGACGTCGCTAAGTGCGTTGAAGCCTAGCTCGTTAGCAAAGGCCCAACCTTTAGCTGTGTTGATGTAGTGTAAAAACTTACTAGCTTTGAAGAACGAATAGTTCTGATTGACTTTGCGGCCCGGGTTGCATCGTCCTTCAACATTGTCATCCCACAACTTGTTCATTGGCTTGCATTGACCCAGAATTGTTCCAAGAACAATGGTATTGATTGCGCCAATCAGAACACCCAGAATGATCAGAAACCACGGCTTTTTCTCATGCCGACCACGAATCTGGACAAGGAAAGGCCAGAATCGCAAGCTTTCCTAGCATGCTGGCAGTTATTGCGAGTAACTGGAATACCCATGACCAATGCAGTGCTGTAACTATCTGCGAGTTCGACAGATCATCCAAGTGACGGCCCATTCCAGCATTGACTGAAAGCTGGAGGAACACCTGAGCAATAGTCTCAGTCGCCTGTTAGAAAGGACAGTTATCAGCATATTCCTTGGAATCAAAACTTCTCATGAGCAAAACCTCGCACTCACCACCGTCAAGCTAGCGACAGCAAAGTCCCATCTAAACCGCCCCACGAACTTCCAGTTACTCAGGAACCCGAAGGCTAAAAATGAATAAGCCAATGCATGTTTCTATCCACAAAACGGCAAGGATGACCGCAGAATGACTATTTCGACCCATTTCTGGCCTTCGGGGATGTACTGCGCTTACACGTTAGAAGGGCCAAACGGAGAGGCCTGGGTGACAAAGTACGCTTTGTTCGTGCCTTAGCAAGGGTTCAAGGGCCGGAGAAGCCGAAACTGGGAGGTTGTTATGCTATGCTTTGGCGATCGTACTTGAGGCAGGAAATCTGTGTGCAGTTGCATGCTGAATGCGGTCACCCCTCAAATATGCTGAGCCTGATCGAATGATCAGGTCACCCCCCACGCCCTAGACCGCAATTTGACCGGCGACTCGTGATCCATGGCCGATGAACTAGGGCGTGGATGAGTGATTTGGAGGTCTACGTAATTCCCAAAATATTGTGGCAGTTCCAAATCTCTCTTTATTCCATTCCATACCTAATCGCTTGAATTAACAGCCATCGACTCAAATTTGTATTTTTGCCAGCAGAGGTGCAAGGCTTGGAAAAGGCAATGCTACCGCGAACCCAATAAAATAGTAATACATACGGGAACTTTCAATCTTTCATTATGTGGATTCTTTTATGCAGGTTCTGCCATCGTAAATGAGGACACACCTAAGGCGTTGTCTCAAAATACATGTGCTGTTAAATCAACGTCTTCATCCTCGACTGTTACTTCCCCCAATCCCCTGTTATCCAGTACGGCTGGTGTGAGATTTCTCTACTGGAATGAAGGGTTTGTGTGCTTTGTGATCAAGATTCTTTAATACATAACTATCAACACCATATATATAATCCATGAGACTAAATACAACAGCGATCCCGTATATCTATAACCAACCTATCTACGTGCCAATTTGTTTCGTATACCAACCAAAAAAACCGGTATCTATCAGTCTCCACGGAGAACCCTCAAGAAAGATGGATTGAGATGAACAGGAAGGGCAATGCGATGGTCAGAAACCACAGCATCGCCCGCCTGTCAGCGATGCAAAACACGAAGACGAACATCATCCAACGCTGCAGCCGCCTCAACAAATGAAACGAGCGCATCACCATCCTCCCGTGCAGCAGGAATCTGCACGAAGTAAGACGTGGCCGCCGAACTCGCAGCAACACCTTCATGCAGGAGGCTTAGCGACAGTCCGCGACCAGCGACACGAAGGAACTCCTTGCCGGTCTCGGCGGTATACTGCATGGGGTCCAGGCCCTCGAACAAAATCGGGGAATGTACCTGAGGGTGGCACCTGTGGGCTTACGTCCAAGACTCACGGACACCTGATTCGCCTCAAGACAGGGGGTGTTGTGCCACGGCGTAACAGGGAAGTTACTAAACCGCTTCCGGGGAAGCAGTGCCACAGACAGCTTGTTCGTGTTGTCACCCGCGTGGATGGAGAGGCGGACGTGGGGCGGCGAGGCGGCCGCCACAAGAGCCGAGAAGACCTGGCCGCGCTCGATCATGACACGGGCAAGGACGGCAGAGTGTTTCTTGATGGCACTCTTACTCACCTTCTTCTTCTGGTAGAAGGTTGCCAGATCAGACATCAGGAACCTAATGTATCTGCGATACGTGAGGGTGGCATTGTGATCCAGTGTTTGGGGTTTCTCGCCGGAGCAACCTCTGAACAGACGTTCCTTGAGATCATCGATGGGAGAAACGTATTCCTCCTCGCTGACGGGCACGCTGGGTGCACCATCGAGAAGATCGAATGGGTCTGCAAAACGGATATGGCGCAGACCCAGTCTGTCCACAATCCGGTGCAGGCCCTCGGTATACCGGTATGTTACCTCATCGGACACACCAAGCAGATCATTGTAGCAGCAGCCATCGCTGACTATAGTGATTTGAGCGCCTCCTGGGTAGATCTGGGTAATTCTTGCACCGAGCGAGTTCAAATGTTCGAGGGACAGGCGCTCGCCAACGTCTGGGTCCGGTGATGGACTTTACCTTCACGGTTTGGACTTTTGAACGGGTATGCGGGGACCACCAGGTTGATCTCCTTGTTGTTCGAGACGAAATACTGCAGGGTCTCGAGGAGTCGGGGCTTGTATACATCCTCGTAGCGGTCGTCAGGCCCGCAGATGCGATATGAGGCGATGATCTCTGCAATACGGACGACGAGGGCTTCTTGGTTTCGGCAGGTCTCTGCGTAGGGTATGAATGCTACCCGGGACGATGTTCGGATGGCTGGAAGGGGTGCCTCGACTATGTCGATGTGGGGGGCTTTTTGGGCAGTGATCACGTTGGACAGCATGGTTGCAGTCACCGATGATTGAATTGATGATTTGGAAGGGTATACTGTAAGTCTAAAAATGTGTTGAGGACGAGAATGAATCTATTTCAAATGTCGAGAGTGGAATTGGATATTTTCTCTACAATTTTTTGATATTTTCTCTTCTGTCCGATTTCCCTCAAACCAGGAAATGCTGCTCTGCCTGTTACGGTATCTGTCGTCCGCGGATATGTCGTGTTTCAGCTTCGTTGATGCCCGACTGGATGTTGCATTTGAGTGTAGGAGAACCTGGAAGGTTATTCCACGTGTCAGCGCATCGCCAAGTTGCGCTGTCGTCCGCGGCTTCCGTCCTCATTCTATTCATAGCTATTGATTCAGTGGCTGGCCTGGGTAGATATGTAGATTCCGGCCTGGCGGGGTGGTCATCAAAGTGTTTTCCTCCGTCGATGGGGGCCTGTGAACTGAGGCTACTTCACCTGGAAGGCCCCCCGTCCCGTCATCGACAAGAGCCATTTAGTCAAGCTTTTGAGAAACCTGGTAAGAATGAAACTTTGCTCTTTGTAGTTTGCCGCTGTTTTCATCCATATCAGCCTATGTTTGGTAAACTGCTGGAGACTAGTTCTATGTGCGTAGAGGGCTTTACGGGAGGTTTCTTCGCTATGTGCAGATCCTATCCCAGGTTCATTTATTCGGGTCTCATTTCTTCTATGTCGATTTTATTTCATTGTCCAAGTGCTTCTCACCTTCTGATAGCTCTCTTGTTTCCGAACATGAGGGGCCTATGAGCTATTGAGCCCCTCTGTAAACGAATGACCCTACGAATGACCCTACCGAAGAAAGAAGTTGTTTTTGTAACAAGAAAGGAGAAGCGAAAAAAAGAGAAAAATAGAAAAAGACAGGGGTAGAGAGAAAGAAGGAAAAAAGAAGGAATAAAGAAGGAAAAACAACCAAACCTCTAGCTTTAGGGCGAGACTGGTCAAGGTTCTCTGGCAATTTTATGACAATGATATGGATATCCTTGTTAAGCGTACTGGAGCAAACAAAAATCATATGCAAATATCCAGAAGTTATGATATATCAATTCCTTCAACTTTCTGCGATCTATGAGACATGTAGTCGAATTTTTTATTCTTTACATGGGAGGAACAGCCTTTTTGTAAGCAGCCTGTACCTCGGGCAAAGCATCCAACATCTTGATGTAAGCTTTGATAGCGGGGTACTCCTCGAAGGGCTTGAGGGCTGGTCCGGCCAGGCCCGAAAGCTTCAACCAAGGCAAGATGGCGAAATCCGCAATGGTGAGACGGCCGAGAGCGACGAAGCCGTTCTCGGCTGAGGTGAGGTGACCCTCGAGGATAGTGCGCAGGCGCTCGACCTCAGTCTGGTAGCGAGCAATGACACTGGGGTTGGGCTTCTCGCCGTGGACGCCCTCGTGGAAGGCGAGGAACCAGACCAGCTGGCCCTGGTAGGGTCCGAGGCCGGACACCTGCCAGGCGAGCCACTGGTTAACGGCGGCGCGTTCCTCGACGGTCTTACCGGCCAGGCTTCCGGAGGCGTCATACTAAGTGGAGTTAGTCAGGCTTGAGGCTTAGATTGAGTGGTTCGGCTTCTTACCTTGTCTGCCAGGTAGCGGAGGATGGCGGCACTCTCGAAGACAGTGAACTCGCTGTTGCCGTGGTCAATGAGACCGGGAACACGTCCGTTGGGGTTGACCTTGGAGGTGTATTCGGGATCCTTGACGGTGCCCTTGCCTTCACCGAAGCCCAGAGGCACGGTGTCGTATGAGAGACCGAGGTGCTCAAGGGTAATGGCCACCTTAACGGGGTTGGGGCCGGGGCCTGGTGGAGACGGTCAGCGGAATCCGGAGAACTGGTAGTAAATTGAAGTACTTACCGGCGTGGGTGTAGAGTGTGAAGGGAGTGCCAGTCATGATGAGTCGAGAAGATGAAACGAATCTAGTTCTGGGAATTGTTGTACGAGGTGTGAAGCGAAGGCTGTTGCTTAGAGAAGGAGCGAGGCGGATCAAGTGAATTGGATTGTGAAGTGAGTTGATGCTCTAAATCCAATGCTTTTCCTTGCTATTTGTAGTCTCCAGACATCATGGCATCGCAACTTTGATGTTGTTCAAGTGTGGGTCCATGAAGTAGACAAAGTGTCCGATCATGATATATCTCACTCCGAAACTCCGAGACTCCGGATCCTCGGAAACAGTCCCAATCTCCATGGGAGTTTGACTCAACTGATTGTTCCATTATCCGGAACACTTGAAGGGTGTTCGAGGTCGTATCTGGAAGGGAAGCTGTTGAGAAGACAACTCTCGTTGTTCGGACTCCGGATTACAATGTTGGCCTTGATACTATACTTGCGCTGAGATAAGGGGAGACCTCAGAGTCAAGTTCAGAGCTTTATCACTAGCATCACTAGCTTCACTAACTCTATGGCCGGTAGGTAGAGTATAGATGATCATATATCCATGGATTTACTTTCTATGGTGAAGCTATTCATGCGAATGGAGAATGTGTGTACAAATTAGCTTAGTATCCGATCTGCCTAGGTAGGTAACCTTGGAAGTTGACTAGCAGGGCCCATGATTATCCTAGTCAAGGGCAGATAATCTACGAGGCGATATCAAGACAAGCGTTCAAGTCTAATTTGATTTCTCAAATGCCAACGTGCTTGACTTTTTCCTAGCAAACCCCTCGAAATGTCCAATACCTAAGATGATAGGCTTGTAATTTTTGTTAGGGGTAATACACAAACAACGCTAGTGCCAAACTTGGAATCCTGGTACATGATTCCACCTCCGTGGGACCTTGCAACGTCTGAACTCCTCCGGGCCTGGTTTTAGGGCAAGCAGCTTGAGATATGGTCTGGTCATAATGAGCCCCATCCAACAAACGGACCTGCTATGGAGACCTTTCGTGTCATCTTCTCCTCTGCTAGTGACTGAAGCCTGATGGTGAGACGGAGAGTCTGCGCCGTCCGCGTATATACGGACAGTGCATATACGGATTCTGGAGACGAGAAGATGACCATCGACAGAGTTGAGCTTCGTATATAAGGAAGAGTGTAAGATGCACCGAACATTCCTCTCCAATTCAGTTTCTGAGTTAATCATCACATCCAAATCACCTTCTCAATCACCGATCACCTGCCGGCAGAATGACTATCGCCACTCCCATCCCCAAGCACACCTTTGCGGATCGTGCGGCTGCCAACAACTTCAACGATACCCAGATTCTCAACTCCAACAACCGCGCTGGCGCCGATATTCCAGAGAAGTCGGATGTTGTCATTGCCGGCGGTGGTATCCATGGCTTGATCTACGCGATCCACGCTGCCACGTATCAGCCGGGAACCCTTAATATCTCGCTGATCGAAAAGGCCAGCAAGCCTGGCTACAAGATCGGCGAGAGCACCCTGCCGCTGTTCTCGTTGTGGTGCAAGATGCATGGCCTCACAGCCGAGTATCTTCTGTGACTCTTCGGTCTCAAGGACGGATTGGCCTTCTACTTCCTCGACCGCGAGAACCAGGGGGAGTACTCCGACTTCTGCAGTAATGGCACTCCCGGTCTCTTCCTGAGTGGATACCAGATTGAGCGAACCATTAGCGAGCTCCTCTTCACGCTGCTGGCTCAGGGCAAGGGCATCAGCGTCTACCACGGCCGCCAGGTTGACTTCAACACCAGTGCCATCAACGGTGGATCTGAGTGCAGCAAGATCTCCATCAACCCCGGAAAGTTCGACGGAAAGCCGGCTAACAGCATCAACTCCTCACTATTGGTTGACGCCACCGGCCGTTTCCGCCAGCTGGCATCCAAGAAGGCCCCGCTGCACCGCTTCGAGAGCTGGAACTACGATTCCTTCTGGGGATACTTTACCGCTCCCGCGGACGAGAGCAACATCCCTCTCCGTCACTACGAAGGCGACCACACCAACCACCTGTGCTTTCCTGAAGGTTGGGCTTGGGTCATCAAGCTCCCTTCATGGGAAGGCAGCTCCACTGCCAGCCTCATGGACATGATCTCGTACTTGCTGGACTGTGCTGAGGCCGGTATTCCCAGAGACCAGCTCCCGAGCTCTCAGGAGCTCGCCCGCATGTTCGACCTCAAGTTCAAATGGGTCACTAGTATCGGATTCGCCGTGCGCAACGATGTCAAGTACCCCGAGGACATGTCGGCCTACGGCACCCGTGAAGCCGAGCGCAAGTTCAACTACTTCGTCCAGAAGTACGAAATCATCAAGGAATTCATGACCAACTTCGACCTCATTGAGACCCTCTACGGCCCCGGCACCACCTGGTACATCCGCAGGTCTCTCACTTACCAGTCACCTGTCGTCTCCGGTCCCGGCTGGCTCGCTATTGGCGACACCTGTGGCTTTACCAACCCGCTGCACTCGCCGGGTATCATCGCTGCTATGTCAACCTCGACTTACGCGGCCGAACTTACACACAAGGCTCTAGGCCAGGCCAAGATCGAGGCCGATCATGAGGCCGCTGAGCGCAGCATCCGCCGCACCCTGGCACCCTATGACGACTTTGCCCGTCGCCTCATCCCCTTCCTGAACCAGATGAACCGCTTCAACTACGTCTGCTTCCGCGATCCCCGCCTGGGTCCTCAGGTCTCCTACCTCTGGCAGTTCTTTGCCGGCATCGGTATTCCAGACTGGCAGCTCATCCGCCAGGACTACAACCTGAACATGGACACGTACGTGCCGCACTCGATCAACTGGGCCTGGGGATCCATGACCCCCGAGTACGACTCCGTGGCGCGTCGCGCCATCGAGCTCGTCGCCCCGATTCCATTGGAAGAGTCTATTCCGGATGCCGTGGCCCGCGAGGTTATCGAGCTTTCCAACGCCGTCAAGCGCGTCGCAGTCGATTTCGGTCGCTTTAACTTCCGCTGGGACGGTCTGCTTCGCTACTACGATATCTACCTCAACTACCACCCTGATCAGCCTTTCAAGGATACCTTCTCGCGCCAGTGCCGGGAGTGCGGTACCTGGCTCCACTGTCGCCCGGACTGGCGCCGCTGCTATGCTTGTGGTGAGACTCGTTCTGAGGAGGATGCTGCTATCACTTGGAACCCGCCTCTCGAGGTCGATGAGGTCAAGGCGTTGGTGCGCGCCTCCGATGCGAAGCCCGCCGCACGAAGAGGTCAGGAGGTCGCACTTGAGCTTCCACCGTCGGCACGAGTGGCAGCTGAAGATCTTCTTGTCCTTGCCCTTCTTTGGTCGATCCGGCGGAGGATTTGGGGTATTGCGGCTGGGTAGTCATATTGAAACTGGGTGACATTCCATTTGATCCAGAGACAAGGAGGGTACTCTAGGGACTGCTTAGAACTACGTATGATTTGGAAGAGAACTCGACACCCAACAATTCACCGGACATTTGTACCGCAGCATTCGTCGAATTGTTTTTCAATGGTGTAGGAATATTGGATTATATACAGAACAATAGCGACAGTTGTAAGATGGGTTTGACGAAATTAGAAGATTTTAGCGAATGAAAATAGTTACATTGAAGTCACCTCGGCGGAGCCGAATGGAAAGTCTTTTCATGTCCATCAGGGGCCAAAAGGCAGGTTGTTTACTTCAAACCCAGGTTGAGTAAATTGTTCATTTCGTCGAATCTACCACCCCACCCCACTCTCCCAGCCATTAATTTATTGCCTGTTTATTCCCATTTATCCCGACCCAGATTTCAAAGCTAGTGCCCTGAACCAGTCGCTGTCATGCCTCTGATAGGAAATCATTTTTTTATTGTCGGGTAATCTTAGCACACTCAGCCGCATATTACGGTATTTCTCAAGTTAATGCGGCCCGCTCATTATTTGATCTGCGCTAAGGCCGTGGCGGTGGGTCCAGAAAATAGTGATCAAGTGTTTTTTGGTCAAGCCGATTTCGAGAATGACTGTAGGATCAGTCTGCCCCCAGTAAGCTCGCACTGGGCAACAGTCCTCGCCAGGCTGTTGGGACAATGGATTAATACCTTCTCATGGTGTCCGGTGTTAATCCCCGTTGGGGAGACCAAAGTGAATCCGTCGTGGTTGTGCGGTCCGGCCCGGGGCGGTTGGCGCGGGGCACGACCGCACAACCACGCCAAAATCAGCGGGACAACGGGATATGAAAACCATCCGACTTATTTTTACCTGACTCGCACTCGGGCCCAGAAGCTGGTCTTGCAATACCAGTGAAAGTGGTGTCGTCCTAAGAAGAAGACAGGACACCCCTGAGTAGACATCGCCAAAACCCGCAAAACCCAAAACCCATCCCGACCCAACCCGCAAAAGGGTTGGGTTTTGGGTCGACTTTCTTAACCCGCAATGAGTTTTGGGTCGAGATAGGTAACCCGCAAACATAGGAAGACTCTTGACTACATAATTTATGCATCTCTAGGCTGTATTTTTTGGTTTTTCTCTTACAGGCAGATATATTATGGGATAATTCACAGAGGTATTTGGCGGGCGAGGGGCTACCGCGGGGTATTGCACAAATCTACCGACCACAACGACGACATAGCCAATGTGTTCGCAGCCGCCTTGCCTCGCTGATATCGACAATTCGGAAGACTTCACCCGACTTCTCATGGGTGTGGTAGCTAGGCCTTGCTTCCAGCCTATCGTGTTACCGACGCACGAGCAACATCGAACCCACTACCCCTGCCCCGGTGCCCTGCCCGCTACGCCAGCCAGGTTGAAGAATGGCTAAGGCTTTGCCCCGGTATTATCGCGCCATAGACGACCCACTAGCCACCATCTGCGGCCGTCTTTCCCTCAATTGCCCCCTTTTGACCGCGCTGGCAGTATAACAACATGGATTCGGCAAGTCAGTTCGAACCCAACTCTGCGAGTGTTCAACACACTTGAACTACAACAAAAAACATCTTGGATGGATGTTTGATTTCATTTTCCTGCGCCGCAATTTCGTCTTTTTTTACGCGACAGCAGTATGCGCTTCAATCGCTACGAAAACGCCCTCCTGGGCCCGTCTACACCGATGTCGATCCCCCCCAGTCGCATGGTCAACGGTGATACACAACCCGGTTCCACCCAAAAGGCTCCAAGAGGTCTGGCATTCTGCGGAATATCCTTCAAATCTCTTGCGTATCTTTCATTGCTTCTTTTCGCGTTCTGTCCTTTTTTGTTTTTGTTTTGCTTTTCTACTCTGGCTCTTGAAGAAAGAACCCATCACAATCGCGCCATAAGGGCAGCCTAACGTTGAGAATGGCAACGAGGCTACGACAAGCCTTGACAAGGCTCTAAAACTTCAGGAAGTGGTACGCTCTAAATGTACATACAAGGATATATGTAGTTGTGGTAGCCTGTATATCATTCAGCGATGGGTCGGGGTAAATGATGTCACACACATACTGTACACCTGGGCATATAGTCCGAGTGCAACCGGTCAGCCAATGTCTCACCAGGGAGTAAGGCCCCCATTTCCCATGACTTCGTAAAAGTTAGCAGCCGCAAAGGCGTCAGCGCTCGAAGGGGTCGTCGCGGGGTCCAACGTGGGTTCACTCCCCATAGACGACGGGGATTCATGGGTCAAGCGCGTCCCCGAGAGGCTATTGCTTTGGCTTGGATACAAAGCGTGGGTAACACCCATTGCCCCGTAAACTTCTCCGGTCATAGGCAAGAACTTCTCTTTGCCTACATCTTCCGGTAGCTAGAAGTCCAAGAAGTCCCACATATTAGGACTCAGGCCATTGGACAGAATGGGCATTACATCTAGATCGGGGAAGCCGTCCGCGACAGGAATGGAGAGAGTCAAAGAGGTGTCCCCAGGGGTCGATAATCTTGGAACGGGTAAATCAGCGGGAGTGGTTGGGCCATTCAAGGTCTTCAGGATCTCCACCACCTGGCGGTAGAGGGGACGCTTCTGGTTCGATCCCGCATGGCGGTTGACACCGTCACCTGAATCCTCTTCCAACTTCATCAGTGCCTCGAGGGCCACAACACTGCGCGACACCGAGCTTTGGAGCGGCTCTTGGGGTATAGGGTCCCCGAAGGATCCCTCAGGCGAAATTTTGGTACGCAACAGTTCAATGGCCTCCCGAATATGGTCTCGCGTCATTAAGCGACCGAGTTGGGCACTCGAGCGCTCGGCCTCGGTCGGCGGAGAATCAAACAGCAGCCCCAAGACCAGCACAACGGTCGCGTTGAAGAGTTGCGTTTCGTTGGAGGATAGTGAGCCACAAACTGTGCAGCGGGCTTGGATCTGGGCTTGCGTGTTGATAATGTTATGAGCCAGCTGCTGGCAGGATGCGCGTCCCATGGGAGAAGAGAGAGTAGAGCGATGCAGGCGGAGGAGGAGACTCCACAGCTGTTGATGTAACATGAATCGTTGGACTGGGATGGCGGCCATGGGACCCATGGCTGTGAGTCCGACGGAGCTTCCCAATCTAAAGTAAGGCGGCAAACTTGCCACATATTTTTCGTACTTTCGATTGAGGTGCTGGCGCCGCTGGGCAGCTTCGTTTGCGGCGTCCCCGAGATCAATTGATTCCCGCACAATGCTGGACAACTCCAACGCGTGTACCGTATAGGACAGCATGGTAAATTCAGACCGAGGGCGCTCGGGAATCTTGCCATGTGCCCTGAGCAGATCGTCATCTTTGAGGTGCAATGGCATCCGGGTATTAAATTGTGAGGGGCGGATGGTATAGTAGCCAAGAGCTTGTCCGCGCGACCAGTCTCTTATGACAAGAGCCCACCTAGTGGTCCCGAATGATTAGCGCTTCGCCCTAAGTGAAAAAATACGGGTATTTGGGGTGCCTACCAAATCCGAATCGCAATCTCGGTGCGAATGTGAGGTGGTTCAGCGGTCACAGAGCCATAATCTAAGGAAGGCGAGGCATCCAAAATGGCATTGCCCAAGCGATGCAATCCAAGTTTGCGCGCACCCGAAATGGCGGTAACTAAGACAGCATCAAGCCCCAACGAGGTCTCTTTTGTATCCAACAGAAGCATGATGGCCGCCTGTAAGCTGGAGATAGAGCCACAAAAGAGGGAAATACCTCCCTGGAGACAACGCACGCTGAGGGACCGCCATGTCGCTGCAGGCTCATCCGAGGCACGCAGTTGCTCCACGCGGAAAGTCAACGGGGTGAGTTGGACACCCAAAAGGGACGGGGTTGGATAAAAGGCGAGTCCAAGCACGAGCTGCGTGGAAACAGTCAGCCGACGCTAGACCCAGTGGGTTTGGAGGAGAGCGGCACCGCGAGAAGCAAAACAGCAAGAGAGTCCAGAGATAGCGTACTGGTGATGGCCGCGTCGGGGGAAGCCATACTTAAGCAGTGACGCAATTGATTGGCTTGCTTCATGAAGCTTGGGGTGTGCACCACATTTCCCAGTGGTGCCTGGCAACGCGTGACAAAGACCTCGTAGAGGAGTTGGATGATATTCCATTCTGGCAGGGCGTGAACCACATCTCGGATCAAGGCAAACTTTTGGTCGTGCCTCTGCGGATCCTGGGTCACCCAGTATCGATTGGGGATGTCAGGGGCCACGTCCGCTGATTCGGTGGGGATAGGAATGACATCCACGAAATGCTCCAAGATCTGCGCCGTTTCTTCGACCTCCGGTTCTTCCTCTTCCTCCGGCGTCACTTGGCTGCGATTTTGTTCTGTACGTTGGGTTTTGGTCCGCTTGGCTCTCGGTTGACGCTCGCCCTTGGTACATAGGTGGGCGCAGTCGCGCTTCACGCATTCCAACTAGAACAATGAGTTCGCAATTCCATAAGATTTTAGGCACACTCACACAAGGCTCCTTGCGATCGCATTTTAGTTTGGAGGCGCGACATCGCGAACAGGAGAGGGTGAGCTTCTTGCGGGGGTGGACAACATCCATGTCGAGTAGGATGTAAGAAGGCAAGTTGGACATCCCCCTGCATCGACGTACTAAACCCCTTCAGCTCGGCCCCCAACGTCAAGTGGGGGAATCGCGGAATCGGTCCAACTCCCGTGATCGCCGTCTTGGTACTCGGAGGTTGATATGATTTATTTACATTTGTTATACTGGTGAAAGGAATATCCTTAGAATGCTTTCACAGATATCTCTCTAGATCAATGAGTACATGCCCAGATAATGAAGGTGTCTGATCACATGAGACGGGAATGCGTCCCCCCCTCTAAATGGCCCTCTTTGACTGTTCCTCTTGAATACCATGGTGGCTACAACATTCATATATGTTGAATGAAGAGCACATACATAAAGCATGGACAGCATCGAGAGCATTAAATCAGACTCTGTGCTGACTCCAGCGGAATGAGACCAGTCCTGTGCGTCGGTCCCCCGACCGGGGACAAGAAGACGCCGAAGAAAGAAGAGAGCCTTCTTCGACAAAACTGGAACGATCTACAAATCAGATAAATGGCTCTCTATCGTATCCGGAGTCCGATGCATGATGAGATATTCTCATCGACACAGTCCGTGGACGTGGACGCGCTGGCATGGAACCCGTCTGGGGAGAGATCCGCGGAATCCGCGTGCTGCTTCCATCCATCTTGCAGTCTCACCAAATCATGGTCGGAGGGCATCAATTCGGAAGGGTTGGCATCCGGACAATACTGGATGCCAGTCTTTCAAGACAATGATATATTAGATCACTTGTCCCGCGACAAGATGGACTCACACCAGACCAGAGCATCTTGGTAGTAATCGGGTCAATATCAATTCAAAACGCAACATGCCTTACGCCGGAAAGCCTCTATCCGACATCGAGACTAAGGTCTCACAAATTGTCTTCCTCATTGCTGCATACCGCCACCGTCCCCGATCGCTTCTCCAAGTTCGTCCCCACGCTCGAGAAGCAGATCGGAGACATTGTCTCCAACAAGGAGGCTGTCCGTTTCATCCTTCCAGCTTTCCCCTTCAAGGCTCCAGCCGAGGGAAGAAACAAGCGCAAGACACTAGGCCCTCTTCCAGACAAGGCCGAAGAGATCGCCTTGCAGACGCTCAATGGATTCGCCGACTCTATTGCCGAAATCTACGAGGGCGGTGCCACCGTTGTGATTGTGTCGGATGCATCAGTATATGGCGGTAAGCATTCGTCTTCATTTTTCTTCGATGCGTAAGGCTAACCTTGATTGAGATATTCTGAACATCGCCGACAGTGACGCTTTCGCTTATCACCAAGAGCTGCAAAAGCTCGCCGCATCTCTGGGCCTTCCCCATCTGGAATTCACCCGCCCTGGGGCCTTGGCCGGCATTGTGCCACAGGAGGCCCAGACCCTTGAGGAATACTCCGACTTTGTAACCAAGACCCGCAACCACCTCGACCACTCAATCCCCCACGTCCCCTCGGCCGAGGATGATAATCGGCAAGCGACGAGCTGACACTACGACACGGCTCTCCCGGAGAGCAACAATCCCACCGCCTTGAAGAATGCTATGCTCCAGCGAGGCAAGGTAACTGTCACCTCTCCTCCGGTGATCCGACCGGGCTAACAGATCTAGGCCTACTTCACTCTGCTGGCATCAGCTGTGCCATCCGCCATCCGCCTGTCAATCCATGAGTCCAACAACGTTGGCAAAATCACTGTTGATCTGTTCCCCCCTGCGAGTAACCCTGATTTCATCACCCCGTGGCATGGGGCCTTGACACTGCTTCCCGACGCCAGCCTGCGCGTGGTCAACGCATCCACCGTCGATGTGACCGAATTTGAGGTGGTCAACAACGCTGCAGGCCACCCATGGTTGCTGCGTGCCAAATGCGACCTCTTCAATTGGCCAGGCATGGAGGTCGACTTTGAACCGCTTTTCCCCTGCGGTATGCAGGTCTGTCCAAAGGAAGGACACGGGCCCTTCAAGTTCGAGGACGTCGATATGAAGCGTGTCCGACGTCTTGCTCTATCCCCTGCGCCTCTTCTCCTGCGTGGATTCACAATGGAAATCGAGAAGGAGGTGTTCCGCGAGAAGGCGCGTCAGCTTGGTGAGATCCAGCAGTGGCCGTTTGGTGATATCCTCGAGGTTCGCGAGAATGCAGACATCAACATGAACAACGTGCTCACGCGCGAGGCTATGCCCTTCCACTACGATGGTGTGTTCAAGATGGTCCAGAATGAGAAGACCGGCGAATGGATCTCCACGCCGCCTCTCTTCCAGATGTTCCGTAACCGCGCGGCCTCGCAGTCCGAGGGTGGTCTCACGCTCTTTGCGTCGTCACGCAACCTCCTGCCGCTCCTCGGGCCCGACACCATTTCTCTTGAGGAACTGCGCTCGCTGAAATGGAAGACTTTCACAGAAGCCAACGATGCCTTCGGCGGCCATGATTTGCACCTGCCCTTCATCGTCGCCCACCCGGAGACCGGTGCCGATACTTTCCGCATCCACGAGCCCTGGCCCGAATCCAAGTGCATCGCTGGAAGCAGCAAGCCGACTATCGTGCAGGTCGTTGGCTGGTCTGAGGCTGAGAGCGACGCGCTATGCGAGAAGCTTACGGCTCTGCTGTACGATCACCGGGTCGTATACCGTCACCAGTGGAAGGCTGATGACTTCGTCTTCAACGATAACGCTACCACCCACCACACTCGCACAGCATTCACTGAGGGTCACCGTGAGCACTGGCGTGTGCACGTCAACTAGATTGTACTTTGTCGTGACCGTTTTATTTTTATTTTTATTTTTTGTTCGTTTTGCTATTAGATGACATGAAAATATACGGAGACATTATAGGATGAAATTTTACTTCTTCTTTTCTTATAAACTCCTCATAATTTGACATCCGATAGAACTAGATGAACGATTACAAGTGAGACTGATTGTTTCTAGGGCTTGCAAGACCAACAATACTCCGGCTGAGCCTACTCCTCTTTGAGCTTGGTGGGGAATTCGAATTTCCAGAGGTTGAGTCACTCTACAAAACACGATATCGATGTGCCACGGCGTAAAGGATTCTGTCAAGTCAGAAGGAATCTGCACGGGCTAGTACCGAGCATGGCCAGTAGACAGAATGTTGAATTGATGTCTGGTTGAAGAAAAGGTCGGGTTTGCTGTGATTACCGTACAAATAGGCGGCGGATCGAGTACATGCTGAATAATCATATCCGAAAGGGTGCTAGTGGTAATTTAACACACCTTCAGTTCGTTAGATTCTGTCGATTCCAAGAGAAGCGGTACGCGCTAGTATACGAAAGGACCAATGGTAGGTTCGATAACATATATTGAGTGTACTCTCATAGACTGTCTAATGCTGCGAATATTTAACCAACTGCGGGCCTATTTAAGCAGTGGAATGCCCCAACAAGCACCTAACTAGTTAGGTATCCTCTAGTTAACTAGTTATCTATCAGTCAGCAAGTGGGTGCTGTAAAAGTCGAGTGAACTAGTAATGTAAGACCCATTTTTATCCGACAGATTCTCATAGAACGGACAGCGGACGACGCAAGGGTCTTTCTTCTCACTATACCAGCCAAATAGGAGACCACAGAAAGGGCGAAGACTAGGTAAATTGCCTAGCATCTACTCGAGTGAAGATAGTCCATTTATTTTCGATTACCAAATTATCATCTCCGAAAAAATCTGTTCAAATATACCATTTCTGCCAACGTATCTATTATTTACGTTGAGCTGGTTAATACCGGCCAACAGGAGTGAAAGAAACAAAACCACAATCAGTATATCACAAATCACTTCAAAGATCCGCCGTCTCGGAAATGGCCTCAGGGCCGGACTGGTCCTTCGCCTTCGACTCAAACCTGTGGTCGCGAACAAAGAAAATTACAACAAAGAATCCCACAGCCGCGAATCCAATTCCCAACGAGAAGGCACCGCGGTAGCCGCGAATAGGGTTCTGTCCTCCCTCGTTGACATGAGACTCAACAGTAGCAGCGATACCGAGACCAATGGAGATGGAGTACTGCACAACCGTTGATATAAAGGATCCCGCAACACCTTGCTCCTCAGGGAGGACGGCGTTGGAAATGAGAATTCCGGACGAGGCAAACGACAAGTCAGGCCCACCAACAACAAACAGACAAGCAGGGAAGATGAAGGCCCAGTATACGTTCGAGTAGTTGACGAAACTCATAAGCAGGTTGCCGATGAAAAAGGAGAACATGGACACGCCGAAGATGTACTGGATAGGCGTCTCGGCGACGAAGAGTCCAATAGCCGTCGTAGCAAACATGCCACCAATGACCAGGGGAACCATTTGAGCCACTGCGGCAAGCGGCTGAGTTTTATGGATAGTGAGAATGTAGACGGTGGTGTAGTAGAGGAAGATTCCGAAGGACATCCAACCGAAGGCCATGGCAGTGACCACGGGTGCGAAGCCAGGGCGCCCCCAGAGGGAATTGGGTAGGATGGGTGCAGAGACTCGGGACTGGGAGAAGACGAATCCGATGAGTAGGAAGACGCTGACAATGAACAGGGCGTAAGTGTAGGGCTCTTGCCAGCCGACGACCGAAGCCTGGTTCCAGGCAAAGGAGAACAGGATCAGGGCTGACACGCCGAGCAAGCTACCGATGTAGTCGAACTGGCGGAGACTTAGTCCAGGAATCGGGGAGCCGATTCGGTGAGGAACAATGACGAAAGTCGCTAAACTGAGAACGAGGCAGCCGATGGCCCAGAACCAGAATCCCCATCGCCAGGTGACTTTCTCGCCGAAGGCGGCTCCGATCAGACCACCGAAGATGTAGCCCGAGGGAGCGCAGAAGCCCAGGAAGGCGAAGGCGATGTTCTTCTTGACCGACAGAGGTGGGAACGCACGCGCCAGCAGCGCGAAGGAGTTGGGGACTAGTGCGCCATTGCCAATTCCCATCATGCCGCGGGCGATGTCGAATAGAACGACTTCGTGGGCGAAGCCGCAGACCAGTGACCATATGGCCATCCAGATCCAGCCGAACAGGAATACGTATTTGTGGCCGAAGTGATCACCCAGGCTGCCGGTGACTAGGACGAAGACACCACCGCAGAGGGAATAGGAGGCTAGGAACCATGACATCTGTCCATTGCTGTTTGTGCCGAGAGAGGTACCGATCTGTTCCATTGAGTAGGCGGCATTGCCCAGACCGCCGACGGAGAATAGTTGCGACAAGCCAATGATGAGAATAAAGACAGCCTCTTGGAAGGTGGAGGAGAAAGTGGTCGGCTCAGTTTCCGGCTGAGCCTTCTCGGCGGCCCCTGGGCTCGAGATGATTTCCTCTTTGTCGTGAGGTTTGCTCATCAAGGTGGGAGTGGTGGATCCTCCGTCGGTAGACGACATGATGTGCTAGGAGATATAGATTGATGTGAGGTTGGTGGAGGAGATGAGAAAACAGGAATTGATCCAATTTTATAAACCATCTGGATTAAATTCATTTTGTATTGCTTTCCCTCCCCCCTGAATGCTGGAGCCATGGGGATATGGAGATGGAAATTGGCGTTGAAAGTCCGCGGAGTTTCAGAAAAAGTCCGATGTCACCACCCGTGGACCACTCCGGCGATGATGATGATGATGATGATGAATTCATTTACCGATGTAGCTGGCTCTAAATATAGGCTGCTATGCGGGAGTGCTGTCAGGCCTGCCGACAGCTAGAAAAGTGGTTGCCAGCCCACTGGACGACCGTTTCTTGAAGCTCAAAATACGAGTTTCTAATTGGTCGCCCTCGAATGTCATGGCCCCATCACCGCTCGATGAGGGTGAGGGGCCCTTTCCCCTTCCCACTATCTCTCCCTCCACGGCTCCCTCGTATCAACGGAGTCGCCACCTCTTGCGCAACTATCCAACCCGTCGGCTGCCGTTCACGCGCTCGTTTGGATCAAGGGAGTACAGTGGATCTGGCACTGCACTCCTAATGGGCGCCATCCTTCTTCTTCCGTCACACTGTCCTAAGGATCACTGAGCAACCCTGAGTGCTCACTCACTGAGCACCGAAGCACTGTGCTCAGTGATCAAAAGTAAATCCTGCACACGTGATGTTGGGATGACTAAAATTTTGGTAAAAAGTGAGCCCCGAGGAAGATCCCGAGATGAGCGCCGAGATGGACACCGAAGTAAACTCCAAGCTATGTAGACGGGGGATTGTATATAAACTAATTTCTGAACCTGTGGACTAGCTTGGTGCAGAAATCAGAAAGAATAGGGGTTGGCTTTTTGTGATTAAATGCAGGCCTTTTCTGTGGAAACTAAAATGAATGAAGAGGAGGGCATAATATATAGAGGAAAACATTGGAAGTGGCCGATTTTTAATTAGGAAGGTGCACCTGAAAGTTGAGGCATGGCGAGGGTACGAATTATATACATTTACCCATCATGGTTTAAACATAGTAAACCTCTTGCACAAAGTATGCTTTGTATGGCTCGTGTACACCTAAACAGATATCTAAAGAGAATATCTAAAAAGACCAAGGCCGCATAAGCGGCCCATCACCCCTATCTAAATACGTAGGAAAGTCGCGTAAATTCAGAGACACATACACACTCCACCTATTCCTAGATTATACCAGCCGCCCGGAGAAAATCTTTCTGGTGTAACCAAATTCGGATCTCCTTGCCCTTGAGATAGAAGGGAATGGAGATCAAGTACACCACGACGTTTATAGCCGCCACCGTCATAAAAACACTCAAAACGCCACTAGAGGTGATGAACTCGTTAATCACCCATGTCCATACCCACGCGATGCAGCTCTTCAAAGCAGCAATGGTGACCATAATCTCGACAGAAAGCTGGAAATTCAAAAACGGAAACGATTAGCAAGTGCACTATAAGAGTGGGGTCCAAGCTGAAAGGAAATTTCATTACCTCCTTATGACAATCCAGGGCGTAGTTCATTCCGAGCGTGGTTCCCATTTGACTTCCAATCGAGAGAACACCGGCCCCCACAACAGGCATTGCCCAGTGCATTTGGTGCTCATAGGAAAGTCCAAACCAAAGCGCACCAAAGAATGTGAAGAACGCCGCCAATAGGCAGGTTGGTAGCCGCATTTCGGGCTCACGAACACCGTTATTGTGCTTGGTGAAGAAGGTTGCAATCCAATCACCGCCTGGGCCAGAGAAAAGCACACCGAAAAGCGAGCCAACAAAGGGTGACAAGAAGAAGAGACCCTGGTCACTAGAATTAAATCTGTAAGGAGGGGGTGCAAAGAGCTGCGCTACTGATGCGCCGAGGATGACATTCCAGCTAAGAGCAATTCCATAAATGCAGCATGACCAGAGGACGGTGGGATAGGCCAAGAGGACGAATGGGCGGAGGAAGACGTGGAGGAGATTCACATTTGGATCTCCAATGTTCCAGAACTTGAGTTCTTGCACAAAGGTCTTTTGGGGAACTGCACTTGATTCTTCAACTAACACCTGGCCTTTGTCCGCATTGACTGTGGTGGTTTGAAATGGATCGGGACGGGGTCCGTAGAACTTGGTCTCTGGCATGAAGAAGAACATGGATATCAGACTCGCACCGACAAACATGGCCACAATCCAGAATGCCCAGTTCATTCCAAGTGCCTGCACGATAAATCCGGAGAACATAGGCCCCAGCTCATTACCTCCTAGGACAGACAGTCCGTAGATGGCGATGAGCTCTCCACGGTTATGCAAGAAGAACATATCGGTCACTGTGGATGGGACAATTGACTCAATAGGCGCCTGGAAAGCGCCTAGGAACGCACGCCCAACTATAAAAGCAGTGTAGGTCTTAGTGGATGCGATGGCCAACCAGACACAGGCGATGGCCATGAGCATGTTCGAGAATATGTAGATGGGACGGCGGCCATACTTGACGGCGAACGGCATCCAAACAAAGTTCCATACACCCTGGTTGATTAAGCAAGCTCCGTTTGCATATGTCAATTCCTGGAGGGACTTGCCGAAGGTGACAGATAGTTGCATCATACCTATAATACTAATTAGAATGTCTCAATATAATCCATATGATAGCTGGTAGATACATACCAGCTGCCATGATAGGTCCTGTGATAGCACCCATAAATGCAAACCAACAACCATTGAAGAAAGTCAAGCTTTTCTTCGTGGTTGACCAGTTCAGAGGATCATTTGGATCGTTCATTGAAGGTTGCGGGACCAATAACATGCGGCCATCGCCTGATTTATAATGCTTCATCTGGTGAAGCCGCTCAGAAATACTTCCATTATCACTACCATCGAACATTATTTCTGTTCCAGGTGCGGCATGGATCTGCTCGATGACTTTTGTCTCGGACCCATGTGGTGAGCCACCCGACATATTGAAGATGTCAAGGAGGGTGCTCCAAAATATAAAGTGGAAAAATAAGGATGAGTGTCGAGGACTAAATCAGGGGGAGGGGTGAAGGATTTTGAATACCTCCTCGCGTGGAACGAGGCGGGAATCCCCTTTTTAGTATATGGAGTATAGTAAATAGTGGCCATTCACTTTCACCCTGTAGACCGAGACAATATCGAGTACACAAGACTAGTAACAGAGTATCGGTACTAAAAATCAAACCCAGACGGGCTTGGTACATTCCTTTGGTGTCTTGTACAGCATCCTTGTATTGTTGAGGACCAATCACAAGTCCAGCCCGATAACTAGTATTGTGCTATGCAGGGATGTATGTGGGTGTCGTAATAACGGGCTGAGTGCGTGTGAAAGATAGCTGGCTTCTCTTCATCCCACCTTCGCCCCCGAATACGCTACTATATTTCTGTCTTCCGATCTGCACCTGCTGCCATACATGTTTCCGGTCGACTGTAGGATTTCTCCTCTCTCCGCTGAGGTTTTCTACCATACATATCCCCGGCATAAGTTCTACATCTGAAAAGTGAAAGCAAAGCATTAACCAGTGTCCCACCAGTTATTCTGGAAGAAATTAAGATAAGCCGTGACTCATTGGACAAAGATCATGGCTCCTTCTCGAGAATTTGCATCCCACCAGACTGGTGGCTCTGGCACTTTACCAAGTTCTGTTCCCGTGCTCATTGTGGGCGGAGGTCCTACTGGTCTATTGCAGGCCCTTCTTCTATCTCGACTCGGTGGTATGTATGTTTGCAGAGAAGTCGATAAGCACATTTTGTTAACATGATCTGCATAGTTCAATCATTGATCATCGAGCGTTATCCCGAGCGTCTCGCTGCCCCAAAAGCCCACGCGATCAACCCTCGCTCTTTGGAAATATTGCGTCAATTTGAATTAGGCGAGAAGCATGTGCGACAGCTAGGCACTTCGCGAGATGATAGCTCCTCGGTGAATTTTCTCACCAATCTTTGTGGAGACGCGATTGGCAGGCTCCCGTATGAGCGTATGGATCCTGCAGTTTTGAATGATACGCCAGAGGTACTTTTCCCCTATAGTGAGCGCATAATGGTAGTAGTACTGATTAATTGAAACAATAGATGATCCATAATTTACCCCAACCAGCCCTAGAGCAAGAATTCTCCAATTTTATTGCAAAGGATCCCAACATTACCTTGATCAAGGGGTTCAGTATCCATGCCGTGGAGCAGGTAAGTACACCAGCCATTTTTGGTATCAATGAAGGGACGCGGTTAACTGAAAATCAGACTAAAAATGAAGTCATAGCGACAATTGAGGAACGGTCGACTGGAAAACTCTATAACACAAAGTCCCGTCATCTTATAGCCTGTGATGGCCGTAGAAGCAAGGTCCGCGAGCTGCTCGGTATTGAGTCTGAGAGCGAAGACTCAGACCAGACAATGATGACCATTCATTTCAATGCCAATCTACGACCCGTCGTTGGTGACCGTGTCGGTATGCTGTACTGGATAATGGACCCTATAGCTGCGGGCTTTATTATCGGCTATGATCTCGATGGGATCCAGGTACATATCAGCCAGGTAGACGTTGAGCAGTACCCGGTTGAATTATGGACAGAAGATATGTGCAGGGCCAAGATTCGCAGTGCTATTGGTAAAGATAACGTTCCGTTTGATATCCTGAGCTATCGCCCCTGGGTCTTCCGTCGACAAGTTGCTTTGACATTCCAGGAGGGGAATATCTTCCTGTGAGTCTTTTGTAATTGGATATCAACGCTGTGTATTCCTTATTGATGTTTTGGTTTCTTTCAGGGCTGGAGATGCTGCTCACTCATTTCCCCCAACTGGTGGACTAGGCTTGAATTGTGGTCTTGCAGATGTTCACAACTTGGCTTATAAGATTGCCTTGGTTCACCGGGGAGTGGCGACACCATCTATACTTTCGACATACACTGCCGAACGACGCGGCGTTGCGGATTCCTATTCTAAGCAGAGCGTTAAGAACGGTAAGGAGATATTTGCACTGCTGCAAAGTCTCAAGACCGCTGGTGTCGATGATGCTATGCAAGCGCGAGAGAATATGGTGGCAACATTGGCGGATCCAGCTCAGCGCACACAGGTTGAGGCAGGTATTGAAGGACAGAGGGAGCATTTTGATAATGTAAGTGACTTCATTTGCTTTTTCCGGTTTCTATAAAGGCCAGTCCTGCTCACACTCTTGCCCATAGTTGGAGCTTCATATTGGATATGTGTATGGGGCTACCAAGCCACCACCTCACGCTTCTCGTTACTCTCCGAAATTTGTGCCTGGGGCGCGCTTGCCTCATAGTTGGATCAGTTTCCCAGGTGACCTCTCGCCGATGACACAGGCAGCCAAACGTTCTTCGCTGCCTCAGGAGCCAGTCGATGTATCCTATGTCAGGGAGCTCGACGCAGGTCAGGTTCGCGCTTGCCAGTGGAGTACCCTTGATCTCTGTGGCCCCGACTCTTGGACTTTGATTTTGGGGAAGGAGCAGCAAAATCCTCACATTGCACTTTTGCAGAAGCACTTCACCGTGATTGGTATAACTCTGAATGCCTGGCGGTTGGGAGTGGACTTTGAAATTGTCAGGCAAAGCTGGTTCGCTGATGAGTTGGTTAATGGTGGGGGGATTCTGATTCGTCCTGATCAGCACATCTTAGCAAGGGTCTCTACTGAGACAAATGGAGAAGACGTGATTGAAGAAGTGAACAAACACCTTGGGATTTCAAATCGTTAAAGACACAATAGAGCAACACCATAGATATTAGTGCCCACTCTTTTCTCATTTTGATAAACATATGCTTGCGGGAATCCCCGTAAGATCAAGGGGTTTCGACTGTTGCGAAGCTAAAATAAAGTACATAGGTATGCTTGACCGATAAATACAATGATCCCTGCTTGTCGAGATGTGATGGATGGTATGCATGGGCGATATGCCACCTTCTGCTCCAATCATTTCGACTCGAAATCGTTTGAGCCGCACCCCACTCCAGGGTGACAGACACTTGCTTTTCTCCACACGATACTTTGTACGATGTATGTCTATGTTGCCTTACGCCTCTGGAGCACGTGAAGTTTGATCTTCCATGAATTCTCTGATATAACTGACGTTGGTATCGGGTATATCAAAACCCAAGCAGCGTCTCGTCGGCTTGATCGGTCTCAAAGTCAAACCGGACCAAATCTTCCTTATAAGGAATGAAGTATGTGCTTGTGACCCTAGGAAAACATGAGTTCCCGCCATATCCAAGGATTCAAGGGATATTCCATACCTTTCATGCTCACTGCTGGCTTGATACTCAGCCAATGCTGCTCGATCCTCGTGGTAGCTCACTAGGGCATATTGAAATCCTTTGCTCTTTTCAATTGGGGTTGTGATTGAGGGTCCCCCAACAACTAGTCTTTGGCTTTTAACACAAGACAAAGATTTGAGTGTCTTAATTTGAGACAGGAACTCCTGCCTCACCTTGTTTCCGACATTCGCGCGGAACTTGAACAGAACTATTGAAGGTTAATTAAGTGTTTGGTTGTTATCGCGGATGAACCATACCAATGTGGACAAGGACCATTTTGAATATCAGTTTTATTTTAAACCAGAGAAATAAAAAATTGATGGGGTTATAGACTGGCAGGAATTGAAATGTAGTTCTCTTTTTAAGTAATGCACCGACGGATGCCATCCGTCCTTGGCGGAAGATTCCCGTTTTGACCCAAACCTCGTCGATTCCAGTAATTTCCTCTTTGCACGGACTCTTCATTCGAAGCAACACTGTTGATTCTGTGTTTCTTGTCATTTTCATGAATTAGAAAATCCAACGCTCACAAAAGATCCGGCCATCTTTGTTATGGACTCTCCGCGGCGTTCTCGGAATCGCGCCGCCTGCCGGAGGTGTCAGCGACGGAAAATCCGCTGTGACGGGGATCTTCCCCGCTGCGCATCGTGCAGAAAGGCCAATGTAGCCTGTGTGAACGATGGTAAACAGGAGGTTAATCGCACGTATGTATTGTCATTTGCTGATCACACGAATACTCTCTCTCTCGCTTCCCTGTCATTTCTGTACTAACTGCTGATTAGGTACATTGCGAATCTGCAAAAGCGAGTACAGTGGTTAGAATCCTTAGTAAAGCAACAGGATCCAACGGTCCAGCTACAGGATGGCCCGCAAGCGGACCTATTGGATATCTCACAACTCGAAACTACGGTGGAAAGCACTCAAATCGAATCTATCTCGCCACAGGGCCCTCGCACTCGTCGGTCAATAACACCTCACCATCTACAACACGGGCCAGCAGACCCACAACTAACTCGTGCACATCCAAGACCGGCCCATGAAATTGGCCTTGTATCTCTCTCCTCGGGAGAGCCGCGATACATTGGTCCGTCAAGCGGATATTTCCTAGCAAACCTCATATTTTCAAGTGCTGGCCGGCGAACGGGGCCATCGGGAAATAATGGCAATGCGAACAAGCCAATGTCACTTTCGTCCGATTTTTTTAATAGCCCAGCACCGCTCCCAGGTCGCAAAGAAGACGCCGTGGAGCTGACTTCAAAGTACTTTGCCTCGGTGCATCTTGTATACCCGTTTCTACACCAACCGTCCCACATGACAAGACTCGAGAGAATGTATAGCAATGAAGCACCGCCCAACCCAGCCGATGCATTTCATGTCTATATGGTGCTTGCAATAGCAGCCTCGGATCTATCTAGGCGGTTTAGAATTCCTCTTCCGGCTGAGGGGTATTATACAGCAGCTACCCAGTATTTCGAACGTGCATGTGCGGATGGCTCTTTGGAAGGACTGCAAAGTCTGCTCTTGCTAATGGTATATGGGCTTCATAATCCATCATGCGACATTAATGTCTGGAGCCTGAATTATCAATGTTTAGGCTCCCTTATTGACTTGGGTCTTCAGCGCGATGTTCGCGCATCATCGACATTCTCCATCTCGTTCTTGGAGCAGGAAATGCGGACTCGCATCTTCTGGGTTGTGTACAGCTTTGATCGTACGTTAGGGACGATGATGGGGCGACCGATTGGGGTGAGAGATGAAGCATGTGAGCTTCGGGTAAGTGATTTTATGATGCGTTATTTCCCCAACAAACTTTGGCTAATAGTACCTTCAGCTTCCTTCAGATGTCTCTGATAGTGATCTTTCCGAGTCAGTTTACGACGAAAACTCGCGAAATCGCACAACTTCTCACATGACATTCTCTATCCACCTGTTCAAACTCGCCCGCATCAACTCTGAGATTAAATATGTCATGCACAGCATTTGCAGAGATCCTCCCCGATATGCCTACCCACCGGTACCCGACATTCATCTATGGCAGAAGGAGATGATCGAACGCCTTCAAAATTGGCTTGCGGACATCCCCCACGGATCAGAAGACGATGCTATCGCCAAAATATGCGAAACAAAGTATCACGAAATGATGATCCTGGTACTAAGACCTAGCCCCGGGATTCCCGAGCCATCAGAAGAGACCCTCGCGCGATGCTTCCAGCATGCCGTAGATCTTCTCCGCGGGTTTGGTGATCTTTATAGACAGGAAGCTCTTTTATACAGCCGACTCATTGTTCACTCTGTCTTCTTGAGCACACTGATAATGCTACACTGTTTGTGGAGACTGCCACATGTTGCATCCGAGGTGCAGATTGATGAAGTGGTCGCAGACACAAGCATCAGCCTGAATATCCTAAGCAGCATTGGAGAATACTGGGCCGAGGCTAAGCGCGCAAGGGATTGTATCCACGAGTTATCCGGTGCAACTGTTCAGAGACTTATCAAGATCCGAAGCTTAGAAGCCCCTTCAAGCTCGACAAGACAAGGCAAGAACCAATCAATTTCCAGCACAGGACGGGCACAGCGACCAAATACTGCCAATGAGGCAGGGGAGCTGTCTTCTACTCTTCGCGCTGATACTGGTGTTGAAAATCTACCGCTAAACTCTTTTATGGATGATTACGATCCGCATGTTGATTCTATGAGTTGGCTGCATGATTCCATGCCCGGGGGCTTCATGGACTTCAGTGGGGCTCCGGACTTTGACACTCTAATGTGGGAGGTTTTTAATGCTAACTGAAGATAAGAGGAACATTGGAATATAACAATTTAGATATATCATATATTCAAGAAATCTTCATAAATCGATTTAATCCGGTGTAACCGATGATCGTGGTTCACTAGCTAAGCTAAAGAACGAACAAATTCAAACAGCCGACACATCTTTGAAAGTGACATTGACCTCACTTTCGACGTCAATATCCTGGGGGTGAGGTCCAGCGGCGCAGGGTCCTCCCCAGCAGGGCCTCCAAAACTAGCAGCCATCATGTGTCGGTGAGTAGCCCTGTAAGGGCTTATTCCTTCGTTGGTAATTTCTACCACGGAAACAGAACGTCCAAGCACTTCCGAGAAGTCATCGGCTTGTTTTATAGCATCACGCAGTGCCAATTTGCGGGCATCCGAAGCGAGTCGGCTGCCAGTTTCGTCTGTGAGACTCCAATCCAGGCCGTCGATTTCCACCTTGGGATAAACCAGCAATTCTTCGATCGCTTGGTTCAACTTGGCGAAATCTCGGAAGACAGCTTTGAAAGATATACTGGCATGGTGCGGGTTCGGCACGGGCTGTTCGTTTCTATCTGTCGACTTTGTCCAGGTTTTGATACTCGTGGATGAAAATTGTGTCAGAGGGGCCTCAGGATGATCGTCGTTCCAGATGTAAAAGGCTGATTTCATCCATTTTTGTAGCTTGGTCGATGAGGTTGCCACTTCCTTGGCGATTTTGTCTTGTTCGGGGCCATTTCCCTTTACTGAGAATCTGAGGGTACCTCGTTCTGGGGCGTGGGTGACAGATGATTTGCCCGTGACTATGATTGTTAGGGGAGCCATTGTTGCTGGAGACTTTATGAATATCTTGGGAATATTTTGCAGCCAGTGCTATATTTATAAGAGAGTTATAAGAGAGTGGGACCTCTAGGGTATCGCCCCGAAGGCAGCAATCTCAAAGTCAGTGACCATCACGTTGCCCAGGTACCCAACGCCAAGCCTCCGTGGGGCTGTTCATCTATTCCTCTTTCCTATGATCTTCATCTTTCATTGATATTTCAACGTATACGTTGTACATCTCCTGGCTTATGTATATTAACTCCTATTCGGAAAATATTCATTTAGCGAGAGCCTGCTGGGTCCCGCTCGTCTTCTCCAAGCATACTATACCAGATATGAACTAATGAATACCATTTTTGACTTACCCGCTGCCTTACAGCAACGTCCCCCGGACGTTAAAGTAGATATTCTCAGTTAATCGAACTCGGAAAAAGTACCTACATCCCCCAGATTTTGGCAGGCTGGTTTGCCTCGCTGGATGGAAATCGGCAGTCGGCATTCGGCAGTGAGTCGGCAGTGGCGATGGTGACATCAATCAAACTTTGGGTTCTTTCCAAATAGCCGAGATATACAGGACGAATTTATTTTTTTCGCTAATGAGAGGAGAAAATCGGATATTTAAACTCCTGCAAAGTTATCTTACCACATCATCTTCACCATGGCGACCGTTACCCATATGAAGGCGACCATTCTAACTAAGATCGGCGGACCCGAAGGCTTCGAGGTCTCAGATAAGATACCAGTTCCTAAACTAAAGGATGGCTTCGTAATTGTGAGAAACACATTTGCTAGCCTGAATTTCATCGATGTGTATTTTCGAACCGGTGCCTATCCTACCCCCCAAGGCCCGAATTTGATTCTGGGCCAAGAGGCTTCTGGAATCATCGAGGCAGCGCCTGAGAACAATCCATTCGGTTTCCAAAAGGGCGACCGTGTGGTATGGATCGCTCAAGGTGGCTATGCACAGTACACAGCAGTTCCAATCACCCAAGTCATCAAGGTTCCATCAGGTGTTGCGGACGAGGACGCAGCGGGTGTGTTTTTGGCTGGTATGACAGCGTTGGCTTCGATCAACGAGTCTTTCAATGTCAAAGCTGGTGACAGTGTTCTTGTACAAGCTGCTGCGGGAGGATTAGGTCTATTGCTTTGCCAAGCTCTTCGTGATAGGGGTGCGTTGGTGATCGGAACTGCTGGAGGACGTGAGAAATGTGAACTAGCACTGCAACATGGAGCGGACCACATGATTGATTATCGAGAGGAGAAGAACTGGGCCGAGAAAGTGCGGGAATTGACAAATGGGGAAGGTGTTGATGTGGTAAGTCAACCGTTCAAATGCGCGTTGGGATGCTTTGGGCTAAAATGAAGTGGTAGGTATACGACGGCGTTGGCAAGGATACCTGGGAGGGTAGCCTTGCGGCAGTGAAAAGGTTTGGCAAGGTTGTTTTCGTTGGTAGCGCCAGTAGGTACATCCAGGGCCTTGAGATATATTGAAAACTAATGGAGTTGGCTTCTTCAGGTGGTCCAGTGCCTCCCTTTTCCATTGAAAGGTTGACTGAAAAGAACGTGTCTATCATGCGTCCCACTTTGCGAAACTATATCGGTACAAGAGAGCGACTTGAGCGATATGGCAATGAGGCCCTTGACATGGTGCGAACTGGAAAGTGGAAGGTCCGAAAGCACAGCCACTACTACTCTTTGGAAGAGATAGAGCAGGCTCACAGAGACTTGGAAAGCCGGGCTACTACGGGGAAAATGTTGATCAGAATTTAGTTCCAATCATAGCGCTTGCTATGACTACGGAGGCATGAAGGTCATTTTTACATCCTGATATACCATCTTCAACCATGTAAACCTCGGGAAGTTCGGGCATACCTAATTGTTATTGTTTTAGTAGTAGGTACTCGCGCAGTGAGTTTGTTCAATATTGCTTATGGGGTGTTGAAAAAAAAACCCCCCAGCAAAGAACCACGAATATGGATCTAGCTAGACAAGTAGTAATCAACACCGAAGCTCTGTTGTAATATAGTTCATAAATCTCTGTACGTACCTACTCGTTTAATTTTCCTTTCGATCAATTTTACTTGAGACCTTTACTAGGAACATGTAACGGTCAGGTCAGATCTATTTTTTGAAACAACAGCTAGTCCCGTGGCGATTACATGTATTCCCCCCGGGTCCTTCCTCCCTCCATATGTTCCGCTTCCATCTTTCCCCCTCCATCTTTGATACATCCATATTTAATGGGAGATAGACTGTTCCGTTGGCTGTGGTGACCCTAATTGGCCCCCCTCCCTGTCCATGCACCCTCGGCACCAATATCGCCCGCTTGCACGCCATTACGGCCAGGCCCGGTAGCGTACACGCTATCGTGGCTGAGTCCTACGAGGCTCCCTCACGCCCAAAGGTAATTGCGGTCCCATATATTCCTCATTCTCCATCTTCTCTCGTGAGTATATAACTTACGGGTGTGATGACTTCGGAGACTTTGCTGGTGTGCATTATCTCTTCATCTGGATTCCGCGTGCGGCTCACATATGGTCGACCGGGCCGTAGATATACAAAGTCATCGAATACAAAGCAGTGGGTTATCAAACTCATAGGCATGAAGGTCTTTCCCATAATCACGCCTGTTCAATTCTTATGGGGGTATTTCGTGCAGAATATTAACGTCCTGTCTATTGAAAATGGCTCTGCACGATGAAATATTAAAAGTTGCCTGTCTTAAATGGTCTTTTTCCTGAAGAATATACATGCTGAAGGGATAAAAGGTGTAAGCCGACTTTTCGATCCATGAATACAAGAATAGTCGGCCGCTCATGTGGCCTAGTCATGTCTTTTGGTCATCCTTTCGGATTTTTTTTCTAGATATATTGTCCACTTTTCAAGCTCAGTAGATAGAGGGCGGGGAAAACAAGTAAAAGGCACAATTTTTAAAATCGAATTTTCCATATATAGTTAACCTAAGGTTGGATATAAAATATGAAGCAAGCAGATCATTCTCATTCAACTGACGATATCGTACCTCACTCCATGCAGTGTGAATTTGTTGTAGATTTGTGATATCAGACTCGAACTACCAGTTCTCCATCAAACCCCTTCGCCTGAGAAAAATAATAGCCGCGCTGATTACTAACGACCATCTTCTCGGTACCCTCCTCAATGTAACTGACATTGAAGTGCGTGTGCCCAAATGCCCATAATCTTACTAGCGGACTCTTCCGAACTTTCTGCCCGGATAGATCGCTGGCAAATGCCGACGATAGCGAGCTATTTACATGTCTTGGATCCACTGCTCGTGGATCCTGGGTAATTGGGCTATGGTGCGTAAAAATCACAATCTTGCGATGAGGCTCGGAGGCAGTGATATGAGAAACCTGCCCATTTAACCAGCCTAGGTCTGCTTCATGAGCAGCCGTGTGATCGTCAACCGTCCAGTCCCTTATGTGGTAAAAGTCCTTGAGACCATAGCTGACTTGATCCTTATGTACCTCGCTCACTTGTGAGAAGAGTGTGCACCCGAGGACAGTCACATCTGGTGAGATATCGTAGCGAGTCTGATCTAAGAAGACGAAAGAACCCATAGTTTGCGGGTATCCATCTTGTCCTGTAGTTGAACGCCAATGATCGACAGACGCTGAGATTTGACGGAGAGCTTGTTTCGTCTCCTCCCAGCTTGAATTGTACGGCTCATGGTTCCCTGGCAGGAAAAAAACGATTTGGAATTGGCGCAACTGGGTTTGGATGAATGTAATGAAGCCTGCGTCTCTGACGACTCCTATGTCTCCCAGGAGCGCAAGAAAAGGTGCTTTCGGAGAGACCTTAAACACATCGTAGGCAGAGGGGCTTTCCAGATGTAAATCAGATAATATCTGGAATGTGGACATCTGGAGGAATGACCTCGGGGGGCAAGTTTTGCTGCCCAGGTGATGTTATGGGTGGGCGATGTTAACTAATCAGATGCAATTCCAAAGGTTGCAAAGACCCGCAAAGTGTGGCTAGGTTACATGTGGCGGTGCTAATATAGTGTGGCGTAGCACAGCCTCCTTCTGTCCCGCCCCCGGCAGGGTCATTCCCCAGTTATCTAAGCGCCCAGACATGATCTCATAAGAAGCCCCTCCTTGGCTTAAGTCTGAAAATAGATTTATCTCTTTCTCCTATTTCAACGATCCTGATTTCCACTTGTTGTTCTTAGAGTTGTTCCCAAGCCTCTTTCTCATCTTATCAACCATTGTTACCGACACGACGTCATAAGCGTGTTATCAGCACCTTAAATTGCGGGCTATCTTGAAAGCCGCAAGTCTTTAATTGTGACAGTAACCAACACGATGGCGAGCGCAGCACATGATCCCCGTCTGCTATACAGCGTCAATAATATCCGTGCTTTCCATATCCAAGATGGAGAGGAGCAGGACCTCACGCCGTCCGGCCCTCAAACACTATCACTGCTAATGGTCCCCACCAACACCGCCACTGCTGGCCCTGGGACAGAATGGCCTGAAGATTCACCGGAAGAGGATTTCTATCTTCATTTATACCTTCCTCCTGAGCTTGATATTGCCATACCCGCGACCACACAGATCTTCCACCAACCTCCCGACAGTTATCTGATTCCCCGCTGGGACATGGGTCCCGATGCTGGCGCTTTCATTCGTATCCAGTTCCCTAGCATTGGCAAAGGCCCCAGCAATGTGTCTCAGGATGATATCGATACCTTTGAATCCATCCTTGCTCAGTGCACTGCATTCCTTGAGCGCGCCCCGCAACCGAAGGCCCAGGATTATACTGCTTATAACCCGGCTGACTATGCACCCGGCGAGGGTTACGTTGGGACCCCAGATAAAAAGAATGCAGATGCGCATGGGAGAATTGTACTCGTGGATGAAGAAAACGGCAGTGTCGTCGGAGAGCTAGGGGATGGATACAATGTCGTTGAGGATGCCGACGTGAAACCTGGTTCTAAAAGTAAGTACTGGATTATAATCGTCCTCAATTAGCAACTGGCTAATATATCGCAAACAGGACCCGTTGGAGTAGAACTTCCTGCAGAAGGTGAAGGCAACAAAGTCAGCATCACCAATGTCTCCGAGGAATACCTGGCAATGGCCCGGCACCCCGCGTATAAGAATTCGACACTCGTTCAAAGTTCAGCTACAGCATCTCGTCTGATCGTGACTGGATCGACATATCTGGCAAGTGCCATCGCGAGCGGTGCAGAGACTTTCCAAAAGAGGACGCAGCCGAATGTCAAGCCGGTGAAATTCTCAGACGCTACTCACGCGCGCATCCGCAAGGTCGGCACTCTCTCCAACGGCGCAGCGGATATTTCTGCTCGCACAGTGGGACAGGTTGGGAGGGTTGCCCAGAACATAGGTGCATCATTGGCGCGCAAGCAAGAATCCGGTCGGAACAAAGGCATCGACCGGCGCAACCCGCCACCTGAATACAAGCCCGGTGTGCTAAACAAATCAATGATCGCATTCTCAACCCTGGCCGACGGCATCGAGCAGAGTGCCCGGAACATGCTATTCTCTGGAGCCGGCGCCGCCAGCTCTATGATCGAACACCGCTACGGCAATGAGGCAGGATCCGTCGCAACCAACCTGACAGGCGGAATCAAGAACGTTGGATTGGTTTACATCGACGCCACGGGTGTCAGTCGCCGAGCACTTCTGAAATCCGTCGCCAAGGGAATGGTGGTTGGCAAAATGCGCGACGGTCAACAGGTTGTCGTCGGCAGTGGTGACGGCGGCCAGGTTCCGGCTAACGCTGTGGAGTCTGCTTCGGGCCCTTCTGGCTTGAGCGCCAGGGACCCTGTTGTGCGGCGTGCGTCGCCCAACCCCACACCGCCTCCTGCATATGGTGCGTCGGGGACAACGTCCCTCAACGCGTCGTCCATGTCAGGGGGTAAGCGGTAAAAATTTGGGGGCTAGCGCGCATGGCAATTACACTGCTTGAGGGGAACCAGATCACGTATATTGAGATGCTTGAGTTGTTTTCTTTTGTGACTTTGTTTGACACAGCAGGCACGATTTTCCATTTTTACAATCTTTTGATTGAGGTTTGAAGCTTGAAGCTTCTTTGAATTTTGTCTATTTTACCTTTTCGATACCTAGATAATGACCTCGCATATCCACAATAAATTTCCGATCGCGTCTTTACGCACAGATAATCACCACCGTTTGATTTTTCGATTCTTCAAGGACTATTGGGCAGAATTTGGGTTCTAGCTGGGTGGCACAGCGCTCAAATAGGGAGAGCACAGCAGACCGTCTTTTCTAGCAGCGATTTGATTTGTATACGAAGTTTACCGGTCAGCAGACAAATTTCAAGGAGGTGAGGGTGGTTGGGTGTGGTGTGGGCAATGGCAATGATAGCCATTGGACAGGGTTGCTCATATGCGTTGCCCAGGTTCCGCTAGGCGATCTATCCGATATTGATTGGGTGATGGTATACAACGTTGTAGAGGCGAAAAGTGCCAACGCATCGCTTGACAGTTGTCCATGGCCCACCTTGCCCAATGAGGGTTATCAGGGAGAAAATGATAATTCTAAGTCTTTGATATTATGCTTGGTGTATTATTGGTGATCCGGGGGTTGTCAACAACGTAGAATGATTTAGTCAATTTAGCATGGATTACTGCATGCAGATATGTTGAAATGGAGACACACTGTGGGTAAGTGGATAGAGTACATGTACATGAAAAGATAGAGTAAGGTTTAGTGTTGCAGGCCGGACTATTCAGGAACCGCATATACTCCATGTAAGTACGGAGTACTTTCCAAGGTTCCAGTATATTAAGATTTCGAGGTTGCAGTTGAATGAGAAATTCCTGAAGTTGAACAAGATCTGCTTTAGATCGGGATCCAACCATGGTTCTAGCTCTGCTTACCGTGGTCGGGGCCGGTTCCAGGGTTCATGCGGGTGGCTATGGCCCCTCATTAATCAATTTCAACTGGGTACATATATACGGAGTAGCATAGCTAGGTACGGAGTACGGAGTACGGACCATCTAGGTACTCCTCGGTAGCTTCAAAGAGTTAAAGCCCGACGCCAAAAAAAAAAAAAAACCAGCAATACGCTGGCGCTAATTGTCAGCCAAAGTAAGCTAGGGAGCCGAGCTACTGCACACCATTTTCCACAGCTAATTAATCTCTGAACCTTTGAATCTGGCATTGATCTTGAAATCCATTTCCATGATAATTTCAAATTAAATTTGGATTTTATTCATATAAAATAATTTAGATAGACCAATGAAGAAGGAGAGAAAAATCGGGATCTGAGCTTCTGTTCTGAGAGAGGTTAATAATGACGATCGTCCTGAGGTGTCCACTCTTATGAGCATTCGAAACAGCCGGTGCAACCCCCTATTTTTTGCTTCTTTCTTTTCTTGAAACTGAGCCCTCTAGCACTTTTAGCGTCTAATTCATGCTATTATTATGTCTGTCAAATCCACACAACACAGTCCATTGTACTTCGTACTCCGTACACTTTCTCTCCCTTCTTTCACACATGTGAGCATCCCTCGGGACTCGAGCCCTTTTTAGCACAGGTGTAGCTACTGGCGCAAGGGACTCACGATCAATATATGGGCAATTAATATCGAATCCACTCCGTACGCGCACAGGAATAAGTTACTTTGTCTTTGTCGTCACTATCCTGGATGTATCATAATCCCCCAAAGTCTTTGGGTAGCTGGCGTCGGCCCTATGTATATGTATAGATTCTCTTTATTTCAAAAGACTTAACATAGGCCTATTATAAATACCAGTATAATATTGAATTAGCTCTCTCTGGCCCATTCTCTCTCTCAACGTAAAGTTATATATAATTAAATAGAAATTCAATTTTTTCTTATGTATCCAAGTGGTCATATCAGCCAAACCCTCATCCAAGGCTCAAGAGCCAAAGACCCGCCTCCCCCAGACTAAGAGAAACTACCACTCGTATCTCACCTCCTCTTTTTCCCTCTTCACCTTCTCGGCCTTCAGCTCTACCCTTGGGGCTTTTCTTTTTCTTTTGCTCTTGTGTTTTTTTCTTTTTGTTTCTTTAATTCTGTTCTTTGGGGGGAATCTTCTTCCCCCTTTTTCGACTCGGATCCCCGACCGGTGCTTCCCGTCTTTTTCCTCCCCTCGCGGCCCCTGTCCGCCCCTCAGTATCCCATCTTCGACGATGTTCAACTGTTATCGCAATTGAATCAGAGTTCTGTTGATCAGGTCCGCAATCGCGTCTGAGACATTTGTTACCGCGTTTGCTCGATTTCTTGGACAACGTGCGACCCCAAACCCCAAATCGTGGGTCTGGCCAGAGGGGGGACTCTGGAGTACTGCAGTGCAGGTATCTTTAGCTTTCCTTTCGTTTTTCGAGAAACTTGTTGTTTTTCGACGCGTCTTTACACCCGAAGAAGGTCGCGACCTGGTGTCTTTGGTGATATTCAACTCTCATCCAACGGTTTTTTGCGCGATTGGTCGTAAGCTAGCCCCCCCATTCCTCCGATCGATCTCCTGCTGTCAGTTGCCCACCCCCCATTCTTGGGCAAAAAGGGCACATTTTTGGCGATTATCGATAAGAATCGGGGGAAAATTCGAGTTAACGGATATCTCAGTATCTACAGATTGCGCTTTGAGTAGCCATCTGGCGAGTGCGACCGGTCGCCCCAACCCCTCGACTTTTGCCAGACGCCCCCGGCAGAGCATTGTGCTCCCTCGCGCCAATTGTACCAATCGTAATTGGTACCAGGAATCCTGCCAACGAGTGCCCGCAGAAGCTTCCTCGGACAATCACACAGCAAGTCTCTTGAGGCTTTCCGCATTTACCAGACGAAGGTATGATATCAGCCACAATGCAACTTGCCTTACAGCGCATACCTGTCCTATATCAAAACCACTCCGTTTCGTAAATACCTTGCTGATTTCTACTAGCCGTTTCTGAGGCCGGTCCCAAACAGCTTTTTTCGGCTATGAACACTTCCCGTCAGCAGGCCGTGCCACTCCCCGCTCATGCCTCAGAAGTATCGACTAGCACATCATCTTCCACACAGAAGAATGCGCGCGCACCATATCCCGATATGTTAGGTACACCGCCGGTTCCTCCCCCGAGGACCTCCTCCACCCACCACAGTCGCCGCAGTCCAAATGGAACCTCTACAGATAAAACGAGTAGCTCCCGACAAGGAAAGAGCAGGTCAGATCGAAAAGAAAGCCGTGATCGTACGCGCGACGACCGAAATGGTAGATCACGGAGGAACCAGCCTGAAGAGACATCACGCGAAGTGCAACAATCAAGGAACGCACCCGTCACAAACCCCACCGAGTCAGAAATGGACAGTATCCATGGCCAAGGGAACTTTGTAAAAGAGCCAAGCGCGGAAGTCGATTCTGTGCTGGCTCACGGCCATCTTATCGACCAAGAGAGAGAACAGGTACGACCAGCTGGCACAGAAAATGCATCTTCATCCGGATTCGGCGCAGCCACCGCCGACGGTGCGGAGGAGGCTCGTGGGCCTCGAAGTCGCCACGATTACAATAATGGGAACGTTATCAAGCGCAAGGAAACCACTTTTGGCTCGTACATTCTCGGACAAACCCTCGGCGAGGGCGAGTTTGGAAAGGTCAAGCTGGGGTGGAAGCGCGATGGCAGTATCCAGGTGGCAATCAAGCTCATCCGGAGAGACACGCTGGGGACCAACCCCAGTCGACTACCGAAAATCTACCGTGAAATCGCCATTCTACGTGAGCTAGCACACCCCAACATTGTGCGCCTCCACGAAATGGTGGAAACCGATCGTCATATTGGTATCATTATGGAATACGCGTCAGGAGGTGAACTATTTGATTACATCTTAAATAATCGATACCTCAAGGATAATTCCGCACGCCGCCTGTTTGCTCAGTTGGTTTCCGGGGTTGGTTACCTGCACAAAAAGGGTATTGTGCACCGTGATCTCAAGCTAGAGAACTTGCTACTCGATCGGAATCGCAACATCATCATTACGGACTTTGGTTTTGCAAATACATTCGACCCGGTGGATCCTCTGGACGAGGAAATCGAGTACAACTTGACCAACAAAGAATATGTGAAACGGAAGCGCCTGGACAAGATTGGCGCAAATGGGCTAAGACGAGGCGATCTTATGCAGACCAGCTGTGGTAGTCCCTGCTATGCAGCACCCGAGCTTGTCGTGAGCGATTCTTTATACACAGGGCGGAAGGTGGATGTGTGGAGCTGTGGTGTGATTTTGGTATGATTTCCCTACATCCATGAGAATCCGACTCAACTAACTTTGTGAATCTAGTATGCCATGCTAGCAGGATACCTACCCTTCGATGACGACCCAGCGAATCCAGATGGCGACAACATCAATCTTCTGTACAAATATATTGTGACTACTCCTCTCACGTTCCCGGAATACGTCACACCACATGCACGCGATCTATTGAGACGGATACTGGTTCCCGATCCTCGGAAACGTGCAGACTTGTTCGAAGTTGCCCGCCACAGCTGGCTCAGCGAGTTCTCGAACATTGTCTCTCACATCACAAGCAGCACGACAAACGTTGTGGACATTGCGAACACAACGATTCCGTCTGGTAAGGATTTGCTTCCTACAAGTGGTCAAGGTGCAAGTTACTCACGTAAATCCACAGAAACTCAAAAGGAAGCACCGCCGCTTGTCCGTAGTGCCTCAGTGCGCGAACCACCGAAGACTCACCAGACCAATGCAACTGCTGTTGGTGGTTTAAACCATCACGCTGGAGATGTTTCTCAAGACCCCCGCCCGAAAAGTCCAGGACTCCCCGCGATGCCAAGCGGAGGACGGTCCAAGTGGAATATGTTGCTCCTCAATCACAGACGACACGAGGAGAGCCTCCGGCGGAGCCGTCTGCATCACGCAGCCGAGCCCCGGCCCCATCGGAAGCCCAAATTGCGGGTTCAGTGCAACAGCCCACGGAACTCGCACACCAGCCTACAGATGCACCAGCACTCAATCTCAACAAACCACTTCCAGGACACTTCCCGCGCTCGACTTCGGACAATGTGGGACTGACTGGGTCGCAGCCGAATGCCATCCCCCAAGGGCCTCGGCCAGCCACTGGCGCATCTATGAACTCCCTTGGAAACACTGGTCGTTTGCCTTCTCGGGGCTCCTATGGACAACCAGTGGCCCCCACTGTTACCGCAACTAACACAGAAGGCCGTCTAGCACAGCCCAAGAGCAGGCAATTTGCCCTTGCACAGGACCCTGCGCAGGCATCGAGCACATCTATAGGTCGTCCAAGCACCCAGAACCAGCAATTGCCTTCAACGTTCAATACTACTCCTCGACAAGAGCCGCCAAAGGGCCACAAGAGGTCCAATACTGTCTCCAGCCTAGGCGAGAAGCTTTTCGGTCGTTCTGGTTCAATATTGGGTGGCCGTACGCAATCTAATGCCACCCGTACTAAGCAGGACAAGCGTTACCCCCTGTCAGCATGAAGGATCCTCTACCAAGAGAAAACTCTAGAATGTCTATGGACTCTCGCCGCTCAATGCAGTACCCCCACAACCGCAAGACGAGCGAGGCTGGTGCGGAAAGTCGCCCTCGTCGATTCTCATTACTCCCGCAGTCTTTCTCATTCCGAGGTTTCTCTAATACCCGGGCTCAAACCCCCGAAGAAACCTCACAAATCCCTCGTCCTGTTGATCCCCGTTCCCCACAACGCCCCGCCACGGGCCCCGGTCCGACGCAAGGTCGTTCTCGGGCAACAAGCTATGGCACTCAAGATGCCATGGGAATAGTTGACGAGGGACCCGGTGAGGATGTACACAACGAACCTGAGCCGCTTAGCTACGAGGCGCAGATCGATCGGCAGTTTGCAGACCTCGGATCTCAATTTGATCACCAGAGTGGTTCATTTGGAGTTCCCTCGGCTGAGCAAGTATACCAGAACTCCGCAGACCTCCCCAGTCGTCAAAACCACCCGTCTAAGCCAAGCTACTACGATGATTACAACGGCCCGTATGACAACATGCCTAGGCAGTCGATGCAGGTTAGTCGATCAGGGCGTGGGCCGGGTGTTTTGCAGAAAAACCACCGCAAATTCGCCGACGCCTACGAATATGAGCGCGATGGCTCTCACCATTCCGGCAGCTCTGGGGCAGCACGCAAAGTCATGGACTTCTTCCGAAGACGTGCCAAGTCCCGCGCTGGTGACGACCGTTGATTACCATTTGATTTGCGGTTTCACCAATAGATAAAAAGCAATATTCCATCTCAAATGCCCTAACCACTGAGATTGGATCGATCAAACACTTGCGGTTCAAGCTTTGATCTTGGAAGCAGATTCAAACCCTATCATTCATATGCTTCTTTTGAGTTGCTTGAAGAGCAGCGAGGTTGTTTGGATACCCCGTGATACCCTGCTTTTGTCTTCTTCTTATGCATGGAGCGATTCCTCTTCATCCGTTGGATGTTTGATTAATTATCTAGCATTTTCTTTATTTCCTTTGTCTAGCTACATTTTCCTTGCTTCCTAATGTTCTGCTTTTGTTTGCGTTCTCCCCGTTTTACCCCCATATGTGATTTGCATTCCCTTCTACTGTTACTATTATCTCTGGCTGTAAAGTGAGACCTCATTCGTGTTCTTGTTCAGAGCATTTTATTATCCTTTTGAACCTTTTTTATTTCATTTCTCATTGTCCCCTCTTAGCTTTATTTGTTCCTCCATGGGAGGCTCTGTCAATGATAATTCAATTGTGACATTATTTCCATTCTGTGGATCGTTTTTTTTTTTTCCTCTTCATTTATGTCTATGTATCTTAATGTGTGGCTTTCTCCTTTTAAGGTGGGGTATTTCTAGTGGCTAGTTGTTCAGCCCTGTGTCTGTTCTGTTGCTAGTTCTCGTTATTTTATTTCCTAGGACCAGTAGCGTGGTCAGGACATTGATTTTACTTGACTTAAAGCTTTCACAATATGATGCCACGCGAAGATATATTTACCTCGGAGTTGCTCTGTGCTCGACATATAGTGTAAGGTGACTGATATCGCAATATATAATACAAATTTCCTCCTATTGCAAGACACATATTTATTTACTCTATACTTTTAAATGTCCGACCTTTACCAAGTCGGCCTCCTTATTCAAGCTGTCAATCTCAGCCATGGCGAAAGGAATCCCCTCCGCCAATCTTTTCTCCTCGGTAATCATCTCGATCTCCCCAGGGAAATAAATTCGATCCACACCAGTCATCTTCTCCGAATCAATAACCCGCTGATAAAGATAGTCCATCCTCCCCTTGAACTCCTCAATAGTCATGAACAAATCCGGCTTAATAGCCACCAAAAAGTGGCCCACATCAGCTGGCTTCGACGGATCATATGGGTTGGTAACATGTCCAGCAAAAGCAGACCCAGAAAGCACACCAGAGAAAACATCCATCATGACAGACAACGCAGACCCCTTTGGCCCACCCATAGGCAGCATAACACCCTGCAGGGCCTCAGCAGGATCATCCGTCCTTCCTCCATCCTTATCAAGCGCCCAATCGGTAGGAATTTTCTCCCCACGTCGAAGCGCCTTGTAAATCTTCCCGCGGGCGGCAATGGAAGGCGCCATATCCAAGATAAACGGTCTACCTTCTCCAGCCGGTGCTCCACACGCAATCGGCGAGACACCCATCAGTTTCTCCTTCCCGCCCCAGACTGGCAGCGCAGGCGAGCTATTCGTGAACACAAGGGACATCATATCAGCCTCTAGTGCCTGTTGCACCAACCACGCGGACATGCCGAAGTGATTCGAATGCTTGACAGAGACCATCCCGATGCCGAAGGTCTGGGCCATCGAGATAGCGAGCTTCATTCCTTCGTGCGCGGCCACGAAGCCGAACCCGTTGTGCGCGTCGACTTGCGCGACGGCGGGCGTTACTTGTCGGATTGTTGGGACGGCGCTTGGGTCAAGCGCGTTTTGTCGGATTCGCTCCATGTATGAGGGGATGCGGTTGCTTCCGTGTGTGTCTACGCCACGGAGATCGGCTGATACGAGACATTTGGAGACTATTTCGGCGTGGGCTGGGGATGTGTTGTTTGCGATGAGGATTTGCTTGACGAAATTTTGGAGGTCTGTGTGATTGATGTTGTGCATTTGTTGGGGTTGATTGGATTGTTCTGCCATCTTGGAGCTTGGTGTGAGACTGATCTTGATTTTTGATGTTTTACAAGCTGATTTGAGGCTGTGGTTTATGGCTTTAACAGTCTTGAGTTTTGTTGAGGTTCTTTTATAGACGCGGGGCGGATGCGTTGCGAAAGACGGGGTGGGGCCGCATATGGTTGTGTGGGGGAGTGTACGGAGTATGTAGTTCCATTTCGGAGTAGTCCGATAGATTATTCTTGGGGGTCTTTGGTCTCTATGGTGAATATGCTATCAAAGGTTATATAGAAAATAATATTTTGTATAGAGTACGTTTTTTTCGCCGCGTTCGTATGTATACATAGTACACACCTAAGGACATCTCAAAAAGACATCTCAAAAAGACATCCAAAAGACCACTAAAGGGATACGACAATTCGGTGTGATACATTGATGCATTGGTTTAAGTATCTCAAAATCCTTCGGCTCCCCTTTCGAGGGCTAGACTTAAGCCCTCAAGCCTTCAAATTAGGCGGATTGACTGCCGCAAACTTAGCCGAACGTTCGGCAATGTTTGTGATTGGTTACTTTGTCCCCTATTTCCAATTACAGCATCATTACTATACTTCTTTCTGCCCTCTCAATCATTTTCTCATTTTCTTTTTTTGGAAATTCGCAAATATGGCGGGGACAGTGATTATTACCGGTGCGACCGGCTCGCTCGCGCTTGAAGCCGTGCAACAACTTCTGTCATCACATCCCTCGTTGACCATTGTTGGCACTGTCCGAAATGCAAAGAAATCCCCCCGAAGTCCTCAGTTACTTCGACTGGAAGAGCTTGCGCACCGGTATCCTTCCAGCAAACTCCTAATCAAAAGTGTGGATTTGAACTCTACCCTGGAAGTACGAGCATTCTCGGACGAAATTGCTGGCCTGGTGGAATCTAACGAACTTCCACCCATTCACGCTATCATTTGCAATGCCTTCACATGGTCGCTAGACGGTCAGCAATTTTCCAAAGATCGGTTGGAATCTACATTCCAAGTCAATCATCTCTCGCATTATTTGCTGGTTCTCAAATTTCTGCGGAGCATGGACCCTGAGACAGGCCGAGTGGTTATGCTTAGCTCTGAAGTTCACGACCCTGAACACTTCAACCCTCTTTCCAAATTGGGTGCAGACCTCCCCTCTAGCGACAGTCTTGATACATTAGTCAATCCTGGTGCAGATGAGGTTGGAACGGAACATGATATGGGCTGGCAACGATACGCAAACAGCAAGCTGGCCAATGTCATGTTTATGCAGAGTATGAACAAACGACTTCAACAGGTATGAGCAACTCTCTCTCTTTCAGTGATGGGGATTGCACTAAGTTTGTGTCTAGAATCCGCAATTCAACAAGATCACCGTGACTGCTATGGACCCAGGTGGTCTTGTGGGCTCCCGGGCCCATGTCGCACAGCGTTCGGTCATTCGTATCTTCTTCAGGCTCTTTGCGCTTTTACTTCCAGTGATCAAGCTGTTCACTTATAGGCTTCGGTCAAATTCGGACTCAGCCCGAGATGTTCTAGCGCTGGCTTTAGCCCCTGAGTACGCATCAGTGAGAGGCCATTTCAATGGAAGGAAGCCCCAGCCTCCTGCGCGCGTAAGTGAAGACGAGGCAAAGTGTGAGGCTATCTGGGAGGCTTGTTGGAACTGGGTTGGTATGACAGAAGGCGAGACATGTGTTCCCAAGAGTTACTCCTAAACGCAGCTTAATATAACGAGTACATCATGTTCTGATGATTCATATAGAGAACTATCCATGGATATAGTCAGTAAGATATTACAAATATTACATAAATTCAAAGGCAAAATAGCCCTATCTCTTTAGATACATATTATTAAATAACCTTCCTCCCTCGGATCACACAATCTTGTATAGGATATTAGAACAAAATCACTTTTTCTCTTGAGGGCGGTAGACGGTCCGCTCAGCAAGCAAGCGAGGCGTGTTAATGTCATGGCTAGGCAAGACAACCACATCAGTTTCCTTGGCAAATTGCTTGATGGTTTTGAGCGTTTGGTAAGCACGCATAGGATCATCGTTAATTCCATCAGGCTGTTCCTTGTCCAAAAGGTCCAGGCCATATGTTGCGTCCCCAGGGAGGAAGTATGTGACCTGACTCTGTCCATCTTCTCCGTCGCCGTATATCACCAGACTAATATGCCCGGGAACGTGTCCCGAGGTATCAACGATCACAATTTTACCATCCTCTGTCACGGGATAAGATTGTTTCCAGGGTCCAAGGGGTCTGTCCTGCAGATCCACAATCTTTGGTGAGAATTCCTTTGGCCAATGATTGGGCGTCGCTCCCTCCATACTTGCAAAGGTAGGATGTTCCCCAAAGGCATTCCAATGCTCACGGCTGATATAAATAGGTAAATCTGGTGCTTCCGCAACCAGGTCCTCTAACCCACCCGCGTGGTCGTTGTGGAGGTGACTCAGAATCACGGCTTTGAGGTCGGTCGCCTTGATTCCGAGCTTGTGAAGTTGTTCAAGGATTCCGTCTTGGCGCTCAATGGTGAATTCGCTTAGGAGTCCATTGAAGACGGCGAGTCTCGGGAAATACCCGGAGTCGTTGCAGCATGGAGATTGCCCAGTGTCCATGAGGAAGAGACCTTCAGGGTGGCGAATGAGAAATACCCCAACGGGCAATGGCTCAGTCCATTTTTTGTCACAAAGAGATCGGAGACGTCGAAAAATTGCGAATTTGCTGACTGGTTGCGAGCGCATTGAAGGTCTAATGCGTACCGTTCCCGTTGTGAGGAAGGTCAACTGGACACCGCCGGCATTCGGATTAGATGCCATAGTACAGATTTTCTTTTGGTAATGAGTGAGTTATAAGGATAGATTAAGGCGAGGATACTTTTTTAAATAAGCAAACATACTCAAGGGAAATGACGTGGACAATAATATAGCCGAAAAAGCGGCAAACCTGAGGTTTAACCGACAGCCTTGCCGGGACTCCACATATCAAGTTCACCCGTCGGGGGAATTAATTGACCGTGGCTTTTAATGCAAAATTATACAAATAGGCGCTTAAAATATGTTGATA